ACGAAATATGGAAGTAGAATTCATTTCCTAAGGTGACAGAGTCCCCGTGGGATAAACTGGGCAACAGAACAAGGAACAACACAATGTGACACAGCAAAACAGGATCAAAGTGTTCTTCAGAATTTTGCTGTATTACATTGCCCAGCAGTTCATTCCTATCTGAAGCATTACAGATAAATTCATAAATTACATTCCTCATTATGAGAGGACATAATTTTCTAGTAACACTGTGTGACTTTCACGTATCTTTCTCACACAGTATCATAGGCTCGCTAGTTTTGTTTAAAACAGCCTGTATTAAAAGCTGCAAATGGAGCTCTGACTGGCTTTCCACTTCCCAGCTAAGTATCTTCTACTAGAATTTTCTTTTCTGTATTGACATACATAGACATCTGACACTGCTAGATATGTCTAGCACAATACAGCATGCTACTTGAAGGCAGCAAAAGTAAAGTAGAAGTAGGATGAGAGCCTGCACTGTAGCCTGCAAATCTTCAGAATATTTTCATGCGCTACTCAAGCATAGGTTTGATTTACAATGAAGCAGCTGTTAATTTGGTCCCCAAACTTCTAAAATATTACATCCAGAGCTAATTAAAGATCTGGGGCAACATTCAGAAAAAGGTTACCTTGTAGCCTGCATCTTCATGTCAGGTATAAAACCAGAATGTCTCACCGCAAAGCAAAATAAAGCTAGTCATTCCCTCTCTTAGCAATAAAGAGGGAATTGTCCATTTGATATTGTTACCCTTCCAAGTCAGATCAAATTCAATCTAGGTTTTGTCTTGCAGTAAAAGCACTACCCACTTCAACATTTCAAGAAACAGCCATTGCTGCCTCAATTTTCAAATCAGTGTTAAGCCAATAGGCTGTTACTAGTGAGATGCAGTTTCATCAAATAACGTTAGTAGCCTTTATTGCAGGCAGAACACTAGGGTATAGAGGATTCTTACCCCAAAAATGTGTCCTTACATGTCTGATTTCTAAGGACAGATATACTCAGCACACAAGAAAACCACAAGAAGCCAGCATGAAGATCTTCCTTTGGTGTTACTGTACCAGCTCCTTTTTCTGAAGATGCAAGATGGAGAGAAAACAAGAAGTACCATACACCACAACAGCCTTCCAACTCAGAACGGGATATGTTGTCTTTCAACACCAACACAAATTGCTCGGTGAGGTCACATAGCCATGATGTCGCATGCAGACCAAACCTCAGGACTTCAGGACAAGCCATGGAGCAAGCTGTGGAACACTGCACTAGCTGCCAGGAGGTTACTGATAAGCCTTTCAGGTCTATGCTACCTTTCTCACCCATTTCCATTTTCTTCTGTCACAAACACAACTTTCTCTCCCCTTGTCCCTTAAGCATGAAGCAGGAAGCATATGCTGCTCTTCTGTGCTCTCTATTCTGTAAGGGGAAACAAGCACTTGTGCTTTCTTTCTGCAAAAAATGTAAAACAAAAGCCAATGAACCAACCAAGATAGCAGGAGGAAAAATAAAAGGGAAGTATTTGTACCATATCCCATACCCTCCATCTGGCTGTGCTGAAGTAATTTCTTCAGACTCGTTGGGCTAATGACTGTTTATCTGCCCAAGGATTAAGTCTTAACATCAGCCTTTGAAGGTGTCAGTTGATGAAGTTCGGCTTACCCCACCTAAACAAAGTGCTTGCCTCAGGTAAGAAAGTATGCTGTGAAGCTGAACTTAATGCTATGACATATGAACATGAGACCCACCAGGCAGACTTGCATCAAAGCTAAATGTCTGAGGGACAAGACAGTGGTGAAGAACTGCTCAAAGAGCAGTTAGGAGTGAGTTGAGCCAGAAAACTCAACCTGGAGACTGATGACTGGTTCTTTGTCTCCTGAGGGAGAGGTAGCATTTTTACCAGCAGCTCTCACTTTTCAGCTCCATAAAGCACTTCAGTGTTTTCTGTGAAGTGCAGTTTTATGCCAAGCACAACCTCCAAGAGAGAAATTGCTCAGCAGAATTACTTAGCAGGCCTTAATAGTTCCCATATAGTTACATTTAATGTATTGTTTTTCTGTAGCTGCCACCTGTGTCAATCAAACAAGAGAAGTCTATTGAGAAAAAATGAAGCCTCTAGCGCTTCACAACTTCCAAGTATGATCCCCAAGGTAGCAAAACCCTCAAGAAACGTCCAAGCCTGCTAGCACAATCGTTAAGTTTTTAATCCCAGCCAACCTGCATTTGAGTCGAGTTATACTGCAGCACCTAAAAGACAACCTGTAATGCAAAGCCCCACACAATCAACTCTGTTCCTCAGGACCACAGGTCTGAAATGACCTCTCCTTTCTTTCCTCCCCCTCCAAAGCACCTAAATCCACCACCTTCTCATCTTTAAAAACTTACATACATAGTACCTTGCTTGATCATGCAGGGAAAGATGCTGCTATGCATTTCTTCCTCATTCTCTTACTGAAATCTAAAGCAAGCTCAATAGAAATGCTATCTCTGACTACTGCAATAAAGTGTGTTCAGTATAAATAATAAAGTGCTATTATCTACTTGATGAAAGGCAGCCTATTAGTATACAAGAGTCTCTCTAATTTGTACAGGCCACAAAAAAGTACACCTGGAACCAAGGAGACTGCTGCTTGAAAGTCTTTGATGTGTTCAAGGGTTATTTTTTTCTTCAGAAGAGTTTTAGCAAATTATCACCAAGGATAAAGAAGTATTAAAGGAGAACTCCAGTTATCAAACGTCTTAAGAAGCATCTCATTTGATTTTTCCATTAGGAAAAATAGATTAGACTTTTATAATGAGATATCTCTGCTTTTTTGGAAAGGATTAAGACAGCTAAGATCATATCCTTGTTTCCCCTTTGAGCACTGGTGAAAAAAGCCCCAGCGGTCGATAACCACTTGTGCTTCAGTGCAAACTGGAAGTCCTGATACAGAGTTTTAATACTATCTCAAACTATATTTGAGCTACTTGTTGAAACACTGGTGCAGACTAAGATTTCAGCACGCTACACTGTCCCTCCAAACCCACAGAAGAGTCTTTCCACAGAGTTTCTTCTGCTCAAACACCTTTTTACCACGAGAAAACCAGCCTTAAACCAGGCAGACTTTCAGCCAGATCACATTTTACGCTTCAGAATACCGACTGCAGAATGCTTAGCTTATTATTACTCATTACAACTGCAGCTGACACCAGCAAAGCACCAACACCCAAATTAGTGTTTAGCTAAAAGGTGCGCCGCGTGTCCCAGAGGGATTTCACCAGCAAAGCCGCACCGCAGAACCAAAACACGGTCCTGCAGAAAACTATGTTTAATTGCGCTTCGCTTGAACGGAATGAATCAGGGCTGCCACTTATTTGTTTTACCGACAGCCTTGTCAGATGGGTGTCAGTTTCAGAGGGATGCCACTGGCCACTCATCCCGCAGGCGGAGGTGCCCCACCATTACAGACCCAGAACGGGCTGTCCCCCGACGCCGTTACCGGTGCATGTCAGGGGCCTCGCAACGGCAGCACCGAGCCGCGTTACGCGGAGCCGCACCGGGGCCCCCCGCTCCGCCACCGGGACCGGGCTCCCTTCCGGCCCCGGGAGGCCGTTGGGCGGCGGCAGCGCCCCCCGCCGCCGCCCGCCACGTCTGCCGCCGCCGCGGAGGCCCGGCCCAGCCCACCCTTCTCACCATCTCCTTGCGGAGCAGGGCCAGCGCTGCGTCCAGGTTGGGAGGCTTGGGCGGGCGCGGGGAGCCCCGGCCACCGCCGCTCAGCTCGTCCTGGATGCGGGACTTCTGCGCGTAGAGCCGCTCCAGGTCCCGCCAGCGCCCGCCCTGGCCGCCGCCGCCGGAGGAGGAGGAGTTCAGCAGCCCGCTCAGGCTCTTGGGCAGCGGCGGCAATCCCGCGCCGCCACCGGGCCCCAGCAGCCCCGGCCCACTCATGCTGCGGCAGCGACGGACGGAAAGAGCCGCCTCGGCCCCGCTGCGGGAGGTGCCGTCCGCAGCCCGCCCCGCCTACGGGCCGGGGCCGAGGCTGGGGGGAGAGGCCCGGCGGGTGGGGCGGAGGAGCCAGTGGCGAGGCTGGCGGAGGGGGGGGTGCCGTGGCGGCGGGGCCGGGCCGCAGGTGCCGGGTGCTGGACGCGCTGGGGGCGGGCCTTGTCGCCGCACTACGGCTGCTTTGTCTGAGCGAGGCGAGGTGCAGCACGGCGGCCGCGTCGCCTCGGGCAAGGCTCGGCTGCCTGCCGGCATGCCTCCAGCTGCAGCCTCGCCAGAAGCACCCCGAGGCGGCCGTATGCCCTGGGGCTGGGGAAGCGGAAGGCTGCTGCAGGGACGAGACATAACCTTTAGGGGTGCCGGGATGAAGGGGACCGTGAAATGCAGTGAAAGAAGCATGAAAGCTGCTTAAATGCAAAGGGTAGCCGGTTCTTCCTTGGTGATGGTGTTATTTCAGTCACCTGGTAACACCAACTGTTCTCCGTTTCCTATCACGGTGTTTCCCTTTGCATCATTACAGCCAGAGGTTGTATCAAAAGTCTGTATCTCCAGGCTTTGCAACTAAACAAACTTTGGTGTATCTGCTCTGTGAATCAGCTACCTCAGTATGAGAGACAGCTCTCTTTTTGTTCCAGGTTTATTCATAGGGCAGTTTATTTCTCTGGCTTACAGAAATTGTAGAAACATAGAATGGTTTGGGTTGGAAAGGACCTTAAAGATCATCCAGCTCCAACCCCCTGCCATGGGCAGGGACACCTTCCACTAGACCAGGTTGCTCCAAGCCCCGTCCAACCTGGCCTTGAACACTGCCAGGGATGGGGCAGCCACAGCTGCTCTGGGCAACCTGTGCCAGCGCCTCATCATCCTCATAGTAAAGAATTTGTTCCTTATATCTTGTCTAAATTTACCCTCATTTGGTTTAAAGCCATTCCCCCTTGTCTTTATCACTACATGCCCTTGTATGCATTCCCACACGCTGATGTGAGCGGACAATAGGAAGGGTGCCATGATGCAGGATGTGGGGCAGGGGCAGGGGGGATGCGTCATGGGAGTCCCTGAAGTTGCCAGTGTGGCCTCAGCTCTGGCATCACAGGAACACAACCCTGGTCTGTCAATTGTGAGTGCATATATATGCCTTTAGGTTTTTGCCCATTTTTGCTTGACATGTTTGTATCTCTGGAGTCTCTTGAGTAAATTACAGTAATTCTGAATCATTCAAAATCCAAATCGAAGCAGGGTATAAAACTGGAGTTCTGGGAACATGCTGTCATTGCAAAGCCAGATTGTTTAAAGGTGCAGTCATGTTGCCACATCCATGCTTTGTTTGTGGGGTTTTCTCTTCAAGAAATAACCAGATACAATGATTTTGATTTAAGCCTCTACACTGGTTTCAGTTTTGTTCCCAGGCTTGCATGGCTTTTCCATGGCTTAAATGTCATCAGACTCTGTGACAATTGTTTTAAAACCATGGAGTTTAAAACAGTGGAGGAAGATTCTGCCAATCTTACTGATGTTTACATGCTATTTTAGGGATTGATTTTTCAGAAAGCCTGATGTGCTTTTCAGTGCTTTGTACATTGGCATCAAGAAGATATTTTTTCCCCTGTTTTTCATGATGCCACTTTTGCCCCAGTCAGTTGTGGAAAGTAAAACAGTACTGAGAGCTTTTATGAATCTAAAGGCATTTAAAACCACCCCTGTTGTAGATTAAAAGTACCTTTCCAGGCCAAAGGTACTTGACAGCAAAAATATTGATCCCGTTTCCTAAGGATCTAGGCACTATTATCTTCCTGCTTACTAGCATATACATTTAATTGTTTTCCTTCCAACCCACACCCTTTTTTTCCCAGATGACAGCTATTTGGAAAAGCTTATGAATATTCTTATTTTATCTAGACCAGCTTATCTTAATTATTTTTTTCAACTTTCCTGATCTCATTAGATTCTATATGCATTTTCTTCACACTTGGGTCCTCTAGGCACCTTTTTGCCATATCTTTACTGTTGCAAAAATCTTTATGCTGGCTTACTGCCCAACTTTATCATCTGAAATAAAAAAAGACTTTTTGGGCTGTCAGTGACCCTTCTTTCAGCTGGCAACCTCATTTAGCCTTCATTCATCTTAAATTCATAACTGTCCTTTAAAATCTAAATCTACTGCTTTATTTAGTCTGGCCTAGTTATAACATAGTGATAATGGAAGCTGGAGTCTTGGTTACAGAGTAAGCTTTCATTAACTGGGTAAACCTCTTGGTCTTTGTTGGTTCCTAGAATTGAACTACAGAAACTTGTTACTTGTCTAATCTGTCCTTTGTTAAGGGCGTTAGTTAAAAAACCCACAATAGAAATGCATGTAGTTTATGTCATAAAGCATTAGGAAGTGCCAGAAGAGAGGTGTCTCATACCATTTCCTTACATGAAGGATATATTATGATATATTTCTAATTTACATCTTCATGCGCGATGGCTTTTCCTTTCCTCATTCATTAGGGGGATGCACAATGCCTGTTGATCATTCGTACATCTTTTACTAGTTTTCCTCTTTCCAAATGTGCTGACCTGTATGTATTATAGTGTATCTTGAATTGATATATTAAGGCTGTATCCTACAGCCTTTTCTGTGATGCTTTCCCATCTAACAACTGGCATATCTACAACTGTAAATGAATTCTTCTTTATGACAAGCCTGAAGGTGGTACTGTTATCCACACTGGAATCAGCACATGGGGAGCTAAATGTAGGTCATGGTGAAAAAGCCTAGTAATTTGAAGTGCCTGGTTTGTGATTCCTAGGGATAATTTTCCACCCAACAGAACTGACAGAAGGACGTGCACCTCTGCTTCAAGCCACTTTCATTAGAAATTTAAAGTAAGGCTCCAGGTTTTTGTGGTGATATGGCTCATGTCACATTTTGTCTGCTGTGCAGCAGGGGTATTGTAAAATTTGCCTGCCAAACAAGATGCACCAGAGCTCATCCATCAGTACCATCTGCCTTTTTTAGTCAGTTTTGTGTTTGCGAGGTGTTTCTCATTGGGTACACCTGCAGTCAGGATTGTTTGTCCAGGACATGTCAGGATCCATGCATCACAAACTGGGTGTATGCAAGACAAATTAATAATCAGTGATGCATGCTTCACTCTTACATTTAATGCTGTAGTCAGAATGCCTGAACATACACTGTTTCTTACACTGTTCTGTGGTGCTCTGGGAATGATGTGAAATTTGGTCCTTTGGCTAAGGAGAATTTAGAAGATGCTGGGTATAACTGGCACTTGATATACAACGCCACATAGTGGCATATCCTAAAATAAATCAGATTTTTGGCTAAAGGTAATTCAATTCCTAGGCATTATTTTTCATCAGAGAAGTGGTTTTAAGTAAAAATGGTGAGGTCCTAATTTTGGCACTTTTTTTTTTTTTCCCCAGATATATTTCCATGTCTATGCCTAAAAGGTGAAAACTCACATAAATTCTAATAAACACAATATCATATCACAGTGGCTTCCAGCTAGGTCTCTAGAAAAGCTGTATCCTGAGATTTAGAGCAGAGATCTTCCTATTTAAGCTACTTGAGTAAACAGGAGTAATAGTGGGTTACCTTTTTTATAGGTCTGCTACCACATAGATAGCCAAGAAGGTCACCTCAGCCTTTGTCTGCAGGGTCCAGAACTAACTGCTAGAAATACAGAAATAGGGAAATCTGGGGATCTGGATAGGGAAGGGACTGGACAGAGCAAGGGCAGTAGATTCAGAAGGAAGCAGGAATCAGGGGTTACATGGAAGCACTGGTCTGTAGAGATCTGTAAGTGTGTGAGAATCTGTTTCACCACTGAAGGCATCTTTCAGCCAGCAATAATATGCATGTAGGATACTTTTTCCCCCTTTTTGTTTGCAAGTGGCAGCTACTCAAAGCAGAGCTCTGTTCCTTCTCTCATTTTCACAATGAGTATGCTATGGATTTTTGAACTAATTTATGCGTAGCATTTCTGCAGTGATGAAGGATCTAATTCCAATCTCTCTCTGTTTTTGTTGGGTTTTATTTTACATTTCAATCAGTTACCAACTGCTGCTTATCTGTGTTGCAAAGGGGAAATAAAGAGTCAAGTCTGTACTTTCATAGCAGAAATTCTGGTTCAGGATCATAGGAAGGATCGTGCTGAGGAGAAATAAGGGCTTGATCTGATAATAAATTGGTGGGACTTACAGTTAAGGTAGCCAACCATTTATTTCCCCGATGATGCCAAAGTCTGGCTTGTTCACATCTCTGTTTAACCTTGGATCAAACAGAATCTTCTCCACAGTACATCACTCAGTGCTCTGCCACACTGGTTTTAAAATTTCTTCACTTTGTCTCTCACATTATTAAATTAGTCTTTTTCCCCTACCTCTCCTGTCTCATAGATTCTTCCCCATTATGTGAACTCTAGCAGAAAATAAAGAGTTGTTGATTAGACCACACCAGATTCATATTCCTGCAATGTGTCCTTGTTGCAGGACTTCTGTGGCAATTAAGAAAGCAAACCATTTTAGTGTTTCATATCAACTGGTAAAAACAAGTCCCCCCAAAATGAAATGAGAAAAAATGGCAGGTTCTAGTGATGAGTAATTTCAGTAGTATGTGAAAATTCATAGACATGAAAGAACACAGCAGTTTTATGAGATAATTATGTAATAAACTAGCTTCATACCCATACCTCTTACTGACTGTGAACATCTCTCTTTTCCTTTTACTGTGTCAAAAGTACAAAAGAAAAGGACTTCAAAGTGCCTTTTGATATTTTCTCCCCTTTCCTATGGGTTCAATATATTTCTGATAAGCATTTGCCTCTTCAAAAAGATGACTTGAGGGGACATTTATTACTGCTGCTCTGCTGTTAGTTCAGTTTGTTGGCCTCACAACACTGTGCTTCTTACTCTTACCAGTACCGACTAGACTTACAGTAACAGCTTTCCAGAATCTGATTACTGAAAGCAGATAGCCAGGGGATCAGAGCTCCAGGCTTTAAAGGTATTTGTCTCATTATCCTAGTGACACTGAGCAGGTCCTTTCCTTTTGTGAGAGCTGCATCGGGGTCAAATCTGGAGGATGCTGTCTAAGCTGGGCCAAGGTCATTTGAGGTAACAATGACAGGCGTTCTAAATCTCTAGGCAAAACTGCATGGCAGAAAGCAAGCTCTACTGAGCAGCGATGGCTGCGGGTGTGCAAGAAGGATTTTTGCTTGCAGGGTGCAGAATATTGCAGATTTTCTAGTTATTTGATATCTGCCTTGAAGCTTTATTGAGGAGTAGTAATCATTGTTTTAAAAGAAATAATTATTTCTCTGAAAAAGGGTCAGCTGGAAGCGAACATGGGAGTTTGTATATACTACTATGTTCAACTAATGTTAATAAGGAGATCAGGTTTCTTACTTCTTTCTTGTGTGTTATCCCTTAGTAAATGTATATATGAGGGTTTTTTTTTTCCAGGCTGAATGGGTAAATCTGTTGGACAACATGTTTCCATAAGATAGATGCAGATTACACTGCTCAGCGGATAAACCCTTCTCTTCAGCTGTGAATGGCTATAATACTTGCTGGGGAAGGGGGCATAATTTTACATTCAGGTGTGCCTGAGTTCTTGAAAAATTACCTTCTACAATGGAAGTAGACAGATTTGTGCCTGAACCGAATTGCTGAATAATAAAATGCAAAACTGAGGCCATAAAAATAACCCCAGTTCATATCCTTCAGTTCAGCTGGGCCAAATACCATTGTCCCATACAGCAGGAGTACTGCCTGGTGGTGCAAACAGCCTGTGCTCCTGTGCCTGCCCTCAGAAGGGGAGAGCGATGAGTACGTTTCAGTAGGGCCTCTTCCTTCCAGCAGCTGGGGTTGCACAGGGTGGATGAGGCTTCCGCAATCCCAGGAGCATAGCATCCAGAAGCTGAATCAAGGCTGGGACAAAGCTTATGCGGAATGTCCTTGTATGTACCTGGATCTTTTTGTCTTGTGCTGAAATTGAACCTCCTCTGAGATGGGACAAGGTCAATAATTTAGCAGTGCATAACATTATTTCTAAACAGTTTAGAGGAGAAAAGTACTCTCTGTAATTGAAAGTTCATTTAGGTAGAGAGAATGTAATTACCTGGCATAGTTAGAGGAGCAAAGCTATTGTGAGTCTCTGATGAAAGCTGTCATCAGTTATTTAATAGCCAACAAGTGATTAGAATTTTTGTTTCATATTTCATACAAGAACAGCACATTCAGCAGCCCAGTGACCTCTAAATTCAGTGCATGGGCACTCGGTAGTTACTGACTCAGAGGCAGATGTTCTACTAGCTGAACTATGATCATCGCTTCTTGCAGCATTTTAGTATATGACACCCAAACAGCAATAAGACTGAGCCTTTTTAGTATGGGCAATCAACTTTTATAATGGCTATAGGCAAATAATAACTTCAAAATAATGTCAATATTTAAAAATAAAATATATTACATGCAGCAAACTTGTATTGAAATTTGAAAATAACTTATTGATGTAAGTACCTCAGATATCAGATTTTTACCTGATGTGAACCTGTCAGAGAAACACTATCTAAGGAGTTCACATTTCAAATAGCTCAAAAGCCTATCCACCTCTTTTCCCTCCTTTTCTATTAGAAATGCCCCTCTTGGGACCCACAAACTGTGTGGTTGCTTCTCTTAGTCCTATGCAAGCTGTGCCTGCCAAGAGGGAGGATGCTTCCCCTCATCACGTGCTGAGCTCTTGTGTGCTTCACAGCACAATCACGCTTCTCAGTTTATTGCAGCCAGGCACTGTTGTCCCAGACAGATGTGTACACTGAGAGATATACATGCAGAGCACTGGGGGATCCAAGGGCTCAGTTCATCTTCCCTCCCTGAAGCCCCTCTTCACAGTTGTTGTCCCTTGGCAGAGCTGTTGGGGAAGAGCTATGTATTCCGACAGCCATCACTGCCAGGTGGGCATTATGCTGGAGTGCAACAATTCCTGTGCATACCTGGCACCTGTCATATGGTTGGAGACAACTTGCACATGTGGCAGGATCAAACCATCCTATAATCAAGTAATTTCTTTGCCATTTAACAACTCGGTGCTGTTTGAAGCATGGTACAGAGCAAGCCTAAACCAAGAAGCAACCTGAAGTATCTGTTAAGGTTGCAAAAAGAAACAAAAACTAAAGTAAAACAAAACAAAAGACTAAAACCTCTGCAAGGGGAAATGAGACGACAAATATCCACAAAGAGAGGAAGCTGCGAAAACTAAACAGCTGGAAATGAGATCAGGTCGAACTGATCACTGCAGCCATAATCAGTCACTGATAAGAGCAAACTGGAATGCAAATAAGTTAGAAGGAAAGAGAAGGGATTTCTAAAGTATTTTTTGCAAGTCTGGAAAAATATGAGTCCTTCTGCCTGGGCAAAGGCAAACTAAAGGATGCTTTGTCTGCCTTTGCTGAATTGGCCAAGAGAGATGGAAGCCTACAAAGACTGCCTGAATAGGGGCCCAACACATGCCATGGAAATGAACTTTTGGTAACATGACGTTGTACAAGCTCATTGTTTCATAGAATCCTGTTTATTCCTCTATGCTTTGTGCATCAGTAACTACCAGCTTTGCACTGATGTATAAATGTAGGCAAGAGTGAAAAATACATAATAGAAGTCAGTTTTAAGGCACATCAATAACTAGATTTCTCCTTGCATCCCTAAAGAGTGCTAGTGAAACAAAAGTGGTGGAAATCTGTTGCAGCTCTTGAGTTTACAGGTCTGGCAGGCAAAAGGAACTTGTTTCTTCTCACTCTACTTACTCTCACAGCTTCTTGGTTTAGAAGCTGTGACAGAGTAAACCAAATATAATTTATATAAGGCCACAAACCCCTACAGTGTAAGAAATAAGATTTGGAGTGCAAGGTATAGAATCATAGAATAGTTAGGGTTGGAAAGGACCTTAAGATCATCAAGTTCCAACCCCCCTGCTGTGGGCAGGGACATCTCACACTAAACCATGTCACCCAAGGCTCTGTCCTGGCCTTGAACACTGCCAGGGATGCAGCATTCACAACTTCCTTGAGGAACCCATTCCAGTGCCTCACCACTCTTACAGTAAAGAACTTCTTCCTTATGCATTCTTCCTTCTTCTTCTTTGTATGCATGCTTTGCGTTCACCTTACCATTTTCATATGGTCTTTTTTCCGAGTGCAGTTGCTTTTTAATTAATTATGAGTTTTCAAAACTTTTTTAGGTATCAGTGGCCTGAAATAACTTGTAGGTACCTTACAATTCTTATAAATTTTCAACTGTAAGCAGAAAATAACAAGAATGAGTTCTTTTATGTTTCAATGATTATGAACATTTTTAGAATTGAATCGACATAATTCTGTCAGTACTCTGAAAACAAGTTACTTGTGTCCTGTGGCACTCGCTCTTTTGATGAGGCCATTTATATCTAACAGTTTTATTCTTGTTGAGTCATTCTTTGCTCTGATATTGCTTTGAGGCAGAGAGAGACAGAGAGGTAAGATGATAATTTCATATCACTGTGGTGAGCAGTCACAGATCAGAAGATAAAAAAGTAATAACTTATAAATACCATGATTTTTTAATCATTTCAGAACTTAAATACTTTGCTGTCTCTGCTCTAGACTTGATTCCAAAAATTAATTGCTTTTAATTCTAGTTCATTTAATGAAATATCAGCAAAGCCCTAGCTAGTAAGAACTGCAAGAAGCATGCAATTTAAGATAGTTTCCTGTATTTTCATAGGAGGATGCTTCCTTATATGTTCTGTAGACCTCTGGCATTCCTAAGCTTGGTCCAGATCTTATGGACATCAGTGGCTGTCCACTGACTTCAGCTGCAGAGGGAATTGGGTTGGGTTCTAGGCTCCATATTGAAGGCCTGTGCGTGTCCTGCTCATTGAGGAAGTGATACTCAACCTCAAAGATGAGCTTACGTAATTTTTTAGTGTAGGCAGCAGCTTAATTATCAAATCCATCCCAGCAGCAGCAGTGACTCTTAGAGCTGTCTGTAATATATAAACACAGCACAGAATAAAGCCAAATCAATGCATATGGGGGATTTTTTGATGTAACTGTATTGTCTAGGGAGGTATGGCCTCTTTAGCTTTTCATCCTGAACTACCTTCAGGGTGAGAGTTAATCTTCCTGCACTAAAACTCAGACTGTTCTTGGGAAAAATTGGGTTTTTAGGGACCAATGCAAACCTGTGACATAATGCCTGAGATAGATTCATATAGTACTGTTGAATCAGTGTAGTGATTGGGTTTGGGGTTTCTTCTTCACCTCCAGAAGAAACAAGGCTAGATTGAGCTGGAAGCGGTTCGTAGCACAGGTCACTGTGACCAGCCACTTCTCCCTGCTCTGAATGTCTGTGGTGTCTGAATGTTGACTGTGTTAGAAAAGAGTTGAAGAGCAAACTTGCTTTCACCCTTTTCTGTAGGGAAGCTAGGTCCTTAGAGCAATACTGATTTACCAAAAAGAGGTAGGAGGTGCATAATACATAAACAAGGATCAAGAATGATGGTTGTCATGGTTTAAAACCAGTCAGGCAGCTTGTTCACTCACTCCCCTCCCTTCCTCCCTCTTTCTTTCCTCCTCCCCCCCCCCCCGCTCCTGGAGGTATAACACAAATCACTACTGCTACCACCAATAATAATAATGATAAGAGAAATAACAAGGGAAGAGAATACAATACCACCTGCCAAAACCAGCCCGACCCAGCAGAGCATGCCCTTCTGGGTAACCCCCAGTTACCCCCCCAGGCATGACATGCTGTGGTATGGAATACCTCTTTGGCTAGTTTGGGTCAGGTGTCCTGTCCCGGCTTCCTCCCGGCTTCCCCTCCTCTCTGGCAGAGCATGAGGCTCACAAAGTCCTTGGTCAGAGTAAATATGACTTAGCAACAACTAAAAACATTGGTGTTATCAGCACTGTTCCCAGGCTGAAAGTCAAAACACAGCACTGCACCAGTTACTAAGAAGGAGAAAAAAATTGACTGCTACTGCTAAACCCAGGACAATGGTGTGTGAAGGACACCATCAGATAATTTTAACACAGGAAATGTAGGAAATTTGAAGAAGGACTTCATTAAACTAAATATTAATAAAATGTTTTATCACAAATTTATTTCACAAATAGCCAGTAAAATGTTTAACTACTTTTTAGCTGAAGGCAAGCACTTCAGATGTGATTTACAAATGGTACTTCCCACACTGGCAGTGATATGAGACAATCTGAAAGAATGCAGGTGACCGGTCCCTGGATTGTTGGTGTATGATAACATCACTATGTTGCTGCCACACACCCAAGCTGTACAGGTAATGTATTTTTAGTCTTGTCCTGACTGGTTTTCATGCTATTACTCTTCCTTGCTGATACAATTGAGCATACTTAGGCCTTCTTAGTATTAATCTTCATCTTTCCCCTGATCTTTTCTTTTTCTTTTTTATTGGTTTCTTGGTTTGTTGGAGTATTTTAATAACCATATAGCAATACCTTTACCCTTGCAGACTGAAAAGCCCAGTTTGATACAATCACTCTTTTTCCTCAAAACTTCTCCTAGATGTGTTAATTTCAATTCCACATCCATTTGAACCTCAGCATAGCAGAGCAGTTAGATTGCATAATGCACTTCTCTAAATCAGCTTGAGCAGATGGGAAGGAAAATAGCTTGAGCTAGCACAGTGCCACTCCCCTTGGGCTCTTCTCAGATGGCAGGGGAAGTGCAGCCTGGCAATGCCCTACTGTCTTAATTTTATCCTCTCAGATAGCAGAGGCAGCCTAGCCTGACCAAAGGATTGTTCCTCCTGCCTCTTCCTCTCCTCCCAGTTTACAGTACTGTACAACTATATACATTTAAACATGGGTCATATAGTAATTTTGCTCAATCATCATGCATTGTTTCATTTGTACTTGTATTCCACAACTACCATGGTCAAGGAACCTCCTGCCCGGGCCATACCATCCCTCCAACAAATATCGGAGTGATTGAAGTCCCCCATGAGGACAAGGGCCTGTGAGCGTGAGGCTGCTCCTGTCTGTCTATAGAGGGTTTCATCCACAGTCCTCCTGATCAGGTGGTCTGTAGTAGATCCCCACAGTAATGTCCCCCATTGCAGTTCTCCCTTTGACCCTGACCCACAAGCTCTCTGTTGACTGATCACCTCTTCCCAGACAGAGTTCCATACTCTCCAGCCTATCACTGACATAAATAGCAACTCTCCCTTCCCATCTGCCTGGCTTGTCTTTCCTAAAGAGCCTATAACCTTCCATTCCAACACTCCAGTCACAGGAGCCATCCCACCATGTTTCTGTGATGCCAATGATATCATATCCCTGTAGCCATGCACACATCTCTAATTCCTCTTGTTTATTCCCCATACTATGGGCATTTGTATACAGGCATCTGAGCCAAGCCTCTAATAAATCTGACTTATTGGCTGGAGCAGCTAGAGTAGCTCTGCATCTCTCCAAACATTTATTACAGGTGCTGGCATCCAACTGGTAGGGTTGGGATGAATCTGTATGCAAACCTAGTTTAAATAGACCTTTAATGGTCTTTTTAACAGACCTACTTAATGCACCTTTAGAGAAAACAAGCCACATTTTAAGACAGTTGAAGCAGAATCCATCGGTCTTGAGCAAAAGCTTCACCTGCAAAATTTGCTAGTGTGAAATGAAGTGCATACATGAACGTCAGTAGTTGTGTCATGGGGTTTTAAGTCCCAGGTCAGTTAGACCGTGAAGGAGGGACACATCCGTGAACAGGCTGGAGGTGCTGCTTGTTCATGCTGCCTCCTGCTGGAAGGAGAAAGAGCTCAAATCTGTTTAGCACCGTTGCCCCAGGGCGCGCTAATGGCTGTACCCAACAACCTGCCCAAAGTGCCATGAGAAGATCCCAGACTTTTCTCCTGTCCTTGCTCTGATAAGGAGCAGCAGTGCCTGCCCTCCTTTTCTTGTTGTACTTCATCCAAAGATTCAGTTAATTTCCAACCTGCTTTCCTCATATAATTTATTGATGTCAGTGCCTGGGAAATTGCTAACTACTTTAAGCTTTTACAATTTGCAAAAAGACTGCAGCCCTGTGTGCAAGAATATTCCCTTACGTGTGTCGTCTGCAACTTAAATTGTGCTAGACCTAGTTTAGAATGGTATTGGCAATACGGGCCAAAGAACTGGTAAAGCTACAGAGGGTTTAGGGTGTCAAATACTTCATAGTCTAGGGACAAACACTGACTATTAGAAAGCCTGAGGCAGCAAGGTGCTGAGAGAGATTTAAGCCTTTCTAAGTCAACTTGGTCCTGATTGCCTATGTACGCAGCGGTTGTGGTAACTTAACGTTGAATTTCCAGGCTCTGACACCTGATCTCCCCCTTTCCCTATGCAGTTTCCTAAGTTTTATAACACTCTGCTCCGCATCACTCTTGTGTCTTAACCAAGTGCTGTGTATTTCCTTCACATTTCTGAAAATCTTTTAAATGAGTCATTCTGCAACAATTTGCTGCACTTCCATGCCTTCAAAGGTTGAATGTATTTATCCCTGCCTTTTTGAAGTTCCAGTGTAATGTGAAGCACCAGGGGAGCCCTTCTGGCTTTTATTTTCTCTGCAGGAGTCTGTGCTTAGTTTATCATCTTTGCAGGATACCATGTGAACAGCAGAGTTTGTGATTGACATGGGAGGCTCCAAAGGGCTATCAGCATCAGCACAGGTAGAGCCAATGCATATTTCATCACTTTGGCAGGGGTTCCTATGGGTCTTGTGATCTTTGCAGGGATTCTTATGGGAAACTCAATGAGGAGAGTCTCGGGAGAGGCTGGAATTAAAAGCATACGGGTAGCTTTGAGATGGTTGTGTTGGTGGTGGAAAAGAGAGATAATGACATTGAAAAAGTTGCAGTGTAATGATAAAAAGGTAATGAGAGAAGAAAAGGCTCTTTTGAGGTTAAGACCTCTGCAGGGAAGAAGAAGCTGAGTTCAGAGGTCACTGGGGGTTTGGCTGGAGCAAAGATAATGGGGAGGAACAAGCAAATATGCAATGTGAGTTTGGGGGATATTGGTCCAGCAGTAGGGTGAGGTGTATAACCAGTGAGGCTATAAAGAAAGAAATACAAAGAAAGATGCGGCAAAAGGAAATAAAAAGTTGCTGGAAACAGTGCTGAGAAAAATAGCACCCTTGCAACAGTTACGGAAATGGTGAACAAGGCAGAAGGGAGAAGCCAAAAGAAGGGGGAAAAGAGAAAAACGAGAACAGCTATCCTGAAATGCATTTGGGGGCAGGGGGGGGGTGGGGAGGGAGTGCCTGATACGCCCATTTCTTCTCAAACTTATGTTAATGTATGTAGTGAGAAGCTTTTATTTTTTCCATTCACATCTCTGCACCTTTACCTGGAGCTTTTCTATGTTTACCCATGTATACGTGAGTTACCCCACCCCTACTCAGGCATCACGCCTGAGAGTCTCCAGAGAAGTTACAGTCTCAGCAGAACACAGCTGTCAAAACCATCTGATGGTTTGCAGTGTGAGCAATCTGATGGGCAGTAACTGACGGACATTTCTGAGGGGTTACAAACCATGTGCCTAGGTCTGATGTGCCACAGCTATGCAACATTCCCAGTGAAAACCCCTTCTGTGCCATGTCATACTCAGTCAAGGTCTGTGAGGTGCTTTCATCTCTTTCACCAGGTTCTTGGCTGCAGGGATATAGAAGGGTTGCATAGATGGGGGTTGTGTTTGTTTTGGGAAATACTGTTTCTTCTTCTGTCTCTGAGAGGGAATACATTTGGTGATGTGTTATTGTTAAACTATATATGTGCTCTCTGGAGAGTCTTGTACACAGTGTACTGTAATGTATCGTATCTGTCTGTAAGAGGAATAAACAGGTACCTGCTGGTACACAGCCGGGATCTGTAACAAGAGCTGAGCTCTGCATTGACAAGGAAAGTGCAAGTGACATTTGCAGAGGACTTTGCAGCAGCTTCTCACACAATATTATACAGACTGAGAAAACACAGCCCCTGAGGAAACAGATGAAGGTGCATTCCTCATGGATTGCTATGTGATGAGACTTTGGGAGCAGTGCGCAGCATCAGTAGCCAGCATCCCAAGAGCAGTAACAGTCCTCTTGCTCAAGGCACTGCCATCACAAACTGGCAGCCTGCTTCTGTAAAACTGGAGGAAAAGAGTAAGTTAGAGGCAAGCCTTAGCATTTGGAAGTTAGTCAGCCACCCTGTCACACTCCTGCTACCCTGTTTGGCAGCAGAGCAGGCTGGTGACAATGTTCTCTGATCACAGACGGTCTGGAAGTAAACTGGTAGTTCTGCAACTGGAGCATATGTCAGCATTACCTTCAGTCAAAATGCTTCAAAATTCACTTCAGTAGCATAAAAATAGAGGCTTAGCTTAACATTTTGTCCCTCTTGTCCTTGTCTTGCTTCTTCCACACACACACCCATGTGAAGGGGAGGCAGTTTCAAACAAGCTTCTCACAGAAGAGCCACCCTCCCCTCCCAGGACTTGCACATGCCTCTCCCCACTTCAGTCCCATCCCACAGTTCTCCAAGGTACCCAGCTCATGGTCAGGATAAATCAATTCCAAACCCCAAATCTGCTTTATGTCCTTGTATAGCCCAAGCAAGAACTTGAGGCTCCTTCTTCTCCGAGTTGTTGCCCATCTCTATGTCAAATGCTCCCCTTGCAGAAATTCTCACCCTGGTTAATGACCTTCTCCTTCTCCTCCCTGTCCCACGGTTTCCTCTCTGCCATTCCACATGTGGCTCAGGCTCTTATCATCAGCTCAGCCTCCTTCCCAGGGGAGACCCCAGATTCTCAGGGTGGAGGAAGCTGTTGCTGAGAGATGAGGAAGAGCTGGGAAGCAGTGAAACCCTTGCAGATGGGAGCTGGAGAGGGCCCTTCTCAGCTCTCTGCTTGCTCTCAGGTGTGCTTTCTGTCAGTCTTGCAGCTCTTGGGAGGAAGTGGCAGAAGGGGTTTTTTAATCTCAATTTGGCAGGCAAGCAGTCAGGCAGGTGATAGTCAGATAGGGCAGACGGATGCATAGATACAGATTAAGAAGCAAATAAATATATGAAGTCACTGGAATAAAGTTGCACAAAGCCAGAGAGTGAGAGACAGACTTCAGACAGCTTCACTTTATGGGAACTTTTACCATGTCAGAAAATAGTTTGTTGCCGTTGTCATAACAGAAGTGTTGGGCTTTAACAAATACATCTTTCAACTGCTTCTTTCTTTTTCCTCTGACAGAGCTCTCTTTCAATAACTCAGATAAATTATCCTTGGGAGCTGCATTTCTGTACTGGAATAATTAAGATCTGAGATGATTCCCTTAAACTGTTAGGCAGCGTGGCATCAGTCGTGTCTGACAGCAAAAGTTAACCTCTGCCGTAGCAGCAGGAGTACTGGCTTAGCAAAGCAACATAGGTAGGGAGACACTTTTTTAGCGCAAGTGGTAGACCTGAAGAAAGGCTTTTGTATCAAAAGCTGTCCATTTTCTCTGACAGTGTGTGCGGGTCTAACAAAGAACAGGATTCCTTCCTACTAGCCTTGTGTGGCTTACATTATGTGTGCTTTGATCAGGGTCTGCTGTTTGCTTCAAACACTTCCCCAAGAACATTTGCTTGTTTTAATCACCACTGGCTGTCTCTTTTGTTATCAAAGGAGCAACTTTTGCTAGCTTTTGATACAGTGAATGCATCACCCTCTAATCAAAGCGATGTTTAACTCGCCCCTGAGCATCTGGAAAGAAACCCTGAGCAGCAGTTACTGGCTAAATGTAAAATACATATTTATTAACAGCTGTGCAGGCTGAGGGGTGGGTGCCTGTATATATGTATATAGTTTGTCATGTTGTATTTGTAGTGCTGGAATGTGAAGGCAGATGCTTTTTTTATGTTGCAGATTAAATCGAGATGTAAAATAAAAATAATGCACAGGAAAAATAGTTTGAATTTCATATATAATACTGTTCAACCGAGTGGCTAAGACATCACAAAGCCACACTTTAATACTTACAGTGGTTATCCTTGTAATTAACAGCGGTGGACTGAAAAACAGCTTAGTAAAAATATCTGAAACTTTAAATATTAAAAAGGAAGAAGCAAGTGGAAGGCAAGTGCCTTTCTGGGGCACTGCGGTCACCCAGCAGCCTCTTCCGGAATTCCTGCAATCCTCAAACCCTTGATTCCGATCCACCTTCTCTGGATTGTGACAGAGCTACAGAAAGCAAGCTGAAATTACTGAGGTAATCAACAGGTATGTCCTATGTATATATACACTCGCATAGAACAGGTTTACATGCATGGAAAAAAAACCCAACCCAAACTACTGTTTTGAGACCTCTGTTGCCTCAAGTAATGACTTCACTGATGATGCCAGTACATGTGGGTAATTGTACAGGCCTGTGTATAACCAAGTTTTAGCTTAGGATGCCCATCTTTTGCCCAAGTGGGGAATGTTTGTTGGTGGCAGTTGCACCATAAAGCATTGGTAATTCTGGCTTCCACTGAAGAAACGGTTGAACACATTGCCCTGCCCAAAAGCCACGAAGGGGCCACCTGGGACTAGTAACAATTTCTGAGTTGACAAGCAAGCAGTAACAGAGAGGGGGCTGGAGCATCTCCATGGGCTGGAGGAAGGCTACACAGTCATGCAGCTGCTTCTGGCCACATGCCTGGGAGAGGCACCATGGAGAACCTACGGTCTCAGTGAGCCCCCGGGCAAGACCGTGACAGGAGAGATGAAGGGCTCTCCCCTCAAGGGTGCGTGGCCTATTTCAGGGTATTTATAGCATAGCCTTTCTTTGTTCTGCATTATGTCCTTGAGGGATGAGAGTCAATTAAAGTCTGAAGGTCAGAGCTAGCACTGCTACCCACAGTTACTGTAGGAACAGAAACGGCTGTCAGCAGAGCCAGAAGTAACCTGATGCCCAGAAGCAGACAAGACAGTGAGTAGAGTAGGAATCTGTTGTAAAACTGGAATCTTGCCAAAACAATTATGCCCCCCCTTTCCCCAGCTCCGCTAGCGTTTGCTTCTGCAGTACCTCTCCAGCTCCTAGTCGGGGTGCTATGGTCACTTGAGCAGGCAAAGTCCCCGGGGACAGCATCCTCTTCATCCAGCTTGACCCACGTGAAGGGTGGGTGTCAGATCTACCCTTGCCAGCTGCCTGGAGCGACAGTCAGGGCAACGGGCATCTGGTCCCCACGGCTGGAGGTGCCTGGCCCATAGTGGGATGAGCCATGCTCTCAGAGTGAAGTGATCCCACCCTTCACTTCTTGCTTGCAGACCTGTGCTGTGCACAGATCACAAATGAAGACTCTGATTTTACCCAATCAGAAAAACCCACAACCCAACCCAGCAGCATTCAAATTGGAGATAGTCCAATTGTTAGGAGCAAATAGAAATCACTGTGCTCCCCTCATGCAAAACATTTGTGGTGCTGCTAAATGAGCTGCTGCAAATGTAATATTCCACTGATTTTTTGTTACTCAGTAACTGCTGCGGTGGTTCAGCAGTGAACAGCCTAAACTGAGCTTTTCTAGCAGAAAAACAGTGAAAGAAAATGGGAAGTTCGAGATGTAGAAAGGGACTGATGACACCAGTGGCACAGTAGGAGGGAAATAAGGAGCAAATGGAAGTTTGGCAGTCTGGGATGGAAAGGCTAGGTTGCAGGCAAAGCTCCAGAAAAGGGATCAGGGGGTCATCATCCTATTATGAGATCAAGGAAAAGCAAGTTGTGAAGGCAAATGGAATAATTTAAAAGAAAGCTAGTGAGAGGGAGAGATGAGGACAGCACTGCATGCTACTGAGGCAGAGATCTGCCTGGTTTGGGACAAAGGAGTTGGTAGGGCTGTTACAGTCTTAATCCTCCCGTTAACTAAACAACATATTAAAGATCGGCCAAATCACTGCTGCTCTGCCTCTGCAGGCAGCAAAGCTCATCTCCATTGCTGCCATCAGGTAAGGGAGCACTCATGCACAGCCAAGAGCAGTGCTCACAGGGAGCAGCTTGCTGCTGCTTGGAACTGCCTCCCTAGAAACACGTGTGCTCATCCATGGAAGTAAAGCCTTGGGTCACTGATATGGTGCATACACAGCTGTTTGCAAAACTAAGGGTATTATTTTAGTTCCTCCGCCTGCCTTAACCTAGTTTTGCCCTTCCTCAAATTCTCCTTAGCACTTTTTCCCTATCTGTTTTGTTGCACTCCTATTTTGCAGTCTTCCCCAGTATCCATTACTGGTTGATGTGAAAGACAAGTGGACCAGATTCATTGTTAGGCTCAGGTGATACTGCCTTTTTTTCTTCTTCCTTTGGTAATGGCTTGCTAAAAATTAAATCATTTAGTAAAAGGACAAATTAAATCATCATCTTATTTTTTCTTTGGGTAACATAAGAGTGTGTGTGTTATATTTTGTTTGAATTAAGGCTATAATCATACACACATTGCTGAAACTGTTACTTTTCGTAAAGTGGCTTTATTATCTTCTGCGTATTTTTCTTTGTGTGTGGAGCTTTTTCTTCCTATGAAATTGCATATCCGTGGAGGATTTGGGGGCACTCAGCCAGTCAATCCCATTTGGAGCTGGATGGTGGTTGTAGTGGGCTAAGTCCCTTATCTGTCCCCTTCAGCTGTTTTACTTCTCTGCTATTGATGAAACATAAAATTAAAAGTGGAATCAACTCAGAGGAGGTAGGAGCCCAGCAAGAGACTTAGGAGGGAAAAGTTGAGGAGGAAGATTCTGACTAATCTCTGTGCAGATGGGCTAATGTGCTGATAGATTTGGTTTTAAATACACATGCAGTAGATCGGGTATTTCACAAACATTGCCATTTCATTTATCTTTGTGGGTATCAAAGCAAGTATAAGAAGAAAATGGAAATCAGGTTGGTAATGGTTGGGGTTTTTTTTGGAGAAGTGGGTTTTATGGAATTCTGGTTTCCCACATGATGTGTACTGGGAAATGATGAAGCTCGGGGAATGAATAGGAGGCCTGAAAGTGGATTAGCCATTCCTACAGGGCAACAGCAGAAGCATAAAGAACTAGCCAGTGTATATACTTGATTCTGTGATTACTTCATGTTATATACATGCCACAGTGAAAAAGCAGCTCAAGCTATTGAAATCAGTGGTTACAATGGCACAAAATTGACATCAATAACAATATAAATTTGATGGACCAGACTGTCTGGTGAGTCTGCAGGATTCATAGTTGCCTTTGTACCTTCTGACTCTGCAACAGAGAGGGCCCTGAATGTTTTCTAGGTTAGTACTTCCCAGTAGGCTAAATGGTGACAGCTTCCTGTGTCTCTTGATGACCTAGATTGGTGGAGGTGCACAGAAGTCAGCTGATGCTGCTTTCTTCATGCAAACCTCTCTGCTGTGCTTCTGTTTGGGGGCTGGCATTAGACAATGCACACTAATGAATGAAATGTCTTGTGTGAGTGATTCTGCCCAGGGAGGATCCTTTGCCTCTTGTATCACAGCAACATGCAAAACAAAACCTCATGATCAGCATTGTACCCCATTACCAGGCTGGTCCTTCCCCTGCAGTGAGGGCAGGAAAAGGGCAACCCTTTAGTGCCTCAGGGACAGGCAGGCAAATTCTTCTCTTGAATGAGGGTTTCTTGCCATAGCCAATACAGAGGAGTGACATGATAAACACACACACACACCCCCCACCCCTTGCATACGAATCATGTTCTCCAGATCTTGTCCATGGAGGGAAACAAAGGTGGACCTGGAGCTGGGCTCAGTGGGAAGGAGGAGGTGTCAGTCTGTGAGACCAGTGATGGGATAAGGGCAGAAAGGCTGCAGTGGGTGTCAGAAGAAGGAGGTGAAGGAGCAAGGGAGTTTCTCTGCAACAACAAGAGAATGGAGAGTAGCAAGGGAAAGCAACACAAGGAAGAGGAAAGTAGAATCTCTGTACTTATCTAAGAATATTAAAATATACTATCTTTGTTTTCCTTTTCTGCTACTAAAGTAAAATATAAAGGCAGAAACAAGTTGTTTTTCAAATCACAAAATGTAATGCTAAATGAAGCAGTAAGATACATTGCTGGTGAGAGTACGATTGATTTGGCTGATGTCTATTTTATTCCTCCTACTGGGCATCTCAATGAGCTGCTGAAGAGAGGGATGCATAAATTTTGGGTAGGTGAGGTGTTGTGTTGATGAAAAGAGGTATGTAAAGCTTGGCATCTTGTGAACTTCCCTCCCCACCTGATTGATGCTGATGTCTCAGGCTATGGACATTGCTTTTTGGATCAGGTACAAATTCCCAGTGGTGTTACAAGGAGACGCTCCTCCCTATTCCTGTCCCTGTGTGGGCATGGGCATGTCTGAATCTATTTACTGGTGCTGAAAACTAACTGTCCTGGGCTGGATTAATTCTTGTGGTTGTGTGAAATCTACTGTGAGCAGAAAGGACGATCCTCTTCTTGGCTCCTACCCCTTATTTCTCCATGCAGCTGCCAAGTATCTTGATTTTTGATGCTCCTGGTTGACATTACAATAAAGAGAGGCGCCTTTGGTCAAACCCACTAGAACTCCATGTAAATTTTGTCTGGGTAGCTACAGCCAAGGCAGGTTTCACAGGCATCCTGGTCTTTCAAATATGCATTCAGGGCATGGTTTCTGGAGACCTTGTGAGAGGTTCTGAGCTCAGAATAGAAAATCAAAGCCCACCTCTTAGGGTATTTATAGATCCTCCATGGCTCAGGGAAATTTCCTTGCTAGTTGTCTTCTGCTAAACAACGACAGTGCTTTTTTTCTTATATAATCTGTAGCAGAGCTAAGTGGGCTTCCCCTTAATAAAAGACCTTTCTCAGTGAGTCACAAATGGATCAGCTCCCTAGTGCAGCTCACAGAATACTGCCTGCTCTTTCAGGGACAAAATTTCTCTATGCCCTTTATGTAAGGATTTTCTTTACATGTGGAGAGATTGCCACATGGTGGCAATTTACCTCCACTTTACAACTGTATATACAAGCTCCTAAACAAGTCGAGCTTCTTTTCCACAGTCCTGCTTTCTTTCAGCCCATCCTGTGCTCTTAGGAAATGCTGGCACTTCCATGTTAAGCTTACTTGTTCTTCCTTTGTTTTTGTTGCAGGTGTTTGTCCCTTTTCTCTCTTCCCTCCCATCCTGCAATGCTTAGGGTGCCATGATTTTTTCCTGAGTTCTTCCAGCCTTTGTATCAAAAGAAAATCAATTTGGATTTTTGATTTTTGGTTTGGATTTTATATAATCCTTGGTTTAAAAAGCTAGATAAATTTCTTTTCCTTACAGGCATGAATGGGATGACCATGGGGACAGCTGGAGAGGGCAAGGAACCACAGCAGTATGGGTGCAGAAGGTTGAGACAGAACACGAGTCCTTGCTCAGGTCAGCTTCCTATGACCCTCTCCTCCGGTGTGCACAGGGAACAAAGTGAGGAGCATAACCCAGTCTCTGCCATAATACCATTGAAACCAAATCAGTTCTGTGAGACATTTACACACTTACTTTAGAAAAGGGCAGCAAACTGAACAAGAGCTCTCTATTATAATCATACTGTGAAGATGCTGACCACGTGGTGTTCTGAAATGGGTCCAAAGCAGGGCACAATTTCCTGCTTTCCTTTACACGCAGCTGCTCAGGGTCCAGCACTCTCATCCTCCCAAAAAAGAAAGCACCCTTCTGAGGATGCAGCCTCAGGTTGAACTGTAGAAGCAAAGGAGAGGATCTCACTCCACTGCAAGCACAGCAAAAAGAGGGGGCTCCTTGCACAGGAGAAAAGCCAAGATATCCCTGGAGTAATTCCAGAGGCTTGCAGGCTGAGGTAGTTTTACAACATCACAGAAACATGACATCTTATTTTTCAATAGTCCTCACTGTAGGTTAGTGCCTTTTGTTCTTTCTTTTCAACACAAATTTGTTAAGGAGTGTTGAAACCAACCTCTTGTTTGTCTGTGCCAACCTACCACTTTTTTTTTTGTTTAAAGTAGTATTTTCTTCTGTATCGAATTCTGTTCATAGATGGCTAAAATAGATTTAAAAGTGGGAGTATTTGTCAAGCAATGTTTAGGAGCAAGCATCATTTTTTGCCATTTAACCATCATAACAAGCATATATTCGGCAGACAGTCTGAATAAAATTCCATTGTATAGAATTGTCCTCCTTTATGAATTATATTTTTTATGGCAGATTTATGCCTCTGACAGAGAAAATTCAATACGTAGCTGTATTTCTATTATACATACAGTCTTCTGCTAGCCAACAGATAAGCTTTTTATCAGCAGCTATGCTTCTGTGGCACTCTTCTGGGCTCCTGCCAAGCTCTGCCTTCATTCCTTTCATGAACAGATCAATGTGCAAACATCTGAAAACCTTAAATAACATAATAGCTACTTGAATGCATGCCCCAAAAAAGCCCCAGAACCAAACTGATTTCAACACTGCTACACCAACATAATGTACCTAAAGCAAATCTACAAAACCAAGGAAAGAAGGGAAAGCGATTGCACATACCTACCATTTCCAAAGCTGCCCTGCCCCACAGTTTGTATACATCAGCTTTTCCTCTAAGCCACGGTGGGACCCCACCTTCCCGTGCCTCTTTGCCACATCACCGCTCAAACAGAACATGCAACACCAGCATCAGCCAGAGCTGGTAATGTTGGGAAGAAGAGTCTGGGTAAAGAACGTGATGAGGAACAAGTAGAGGGGAGAGATCACAGTGTGGTGTGTTGTTTGTTATGCATAAGAACAAAATTTGGAGGGGGTACATGTATCAAAACACAGAGCCACCGGTTAGTGCTCCAGTCTAAAATTCAGAGATGACCAGCAGCTGCATTGTCCACAGTGGCTGTCAAGGGTAATTGAGCACTATGCATTTATCAGGAAGCAGCAAGAATCTTCACCTTCCACTGCCACACAAACAGATGACATTAGCCCATTTTGTCTTCTCTGCTCTTGTGAACTAGAGAAGTTCACTTTGGTCTCCTTTTTGCAATGGGATAAGCACCTGTGGAGAGAAGACCCTTTTATTCTGTTACCCTTCAAATGGGAGGATGTGTGCTTGGAATGATGCCTGTTAGCAGGAGCGATGCTGGAATACTAGAATCAAAAAGTTCCCCATTGGGAAACAGTGGTCATAAAAGAAGAAAACAGAAGAAAGTGAAGTGACCTTGGTGGACAGCCATTGAAGGAAAAAAATGAGAAAAGAAACAGGGAAAACTGATTGGAAAGTTGCCCATGTGAGGGCAATATGACTTATAAAAGGGTACAAAAAATGGAACATGAAAGCACGCACCTTCCCCCCAAAACCCCAAACAAACATAAGCATACGCAATGAAACAACCGACGTAAAAAGATGAATCAAATCTCTCTCCTTACTGAGGGGTTATACTGCCTTATCTTTTTTTATATGAACTTATAAATATATTTCATTAGCTTTTTTTCCTGTCAGGGGGGATATAAAAGATGCTAATAAGTTCTTACAGAAGGTAAATAGTTTAAGGGGATGATACTAGTGATCCTGAAGTATTAAAATAAAGATCAAAGCCAGGACTGCCAGAATAGGGTTTCTAGGTTATCTATATACCATTACATCTCTAAAAGATTAAAGACTCATTTGAACATAAAAAGATGAAAAATCGTAGGGATCATCTCCATTATAAAAATGGCTTGATTACAAAACACAGTAAAGGCCTGATTCTCTCAGGCTCAGACTGAGCTGGTGTTTTATGAATAGATCTATTAAAATTAGTGGGATTGACTTGGTGTGATCTGTTTCTCAGCAAGAATAAGGGTTTCCAAAGTCAGTCCTGCTCAAGCTCAGGTGCATTTTTCAACACTTCAGTCAGTTTCTGTTCTGGCTTCTGGAGCAGTAAGGATGACAGCAGCTTTTTGGCTGGTCACCTCCGTTGTCATCAGCAGTGCAGTTGTTATACAGATAAATATTTGTCATAAGGAGTGAAATCTGTGCTCTGCAACTTAAACCCATCAGATCATCAAGTATTGTTACAGTAGGTGCTAGCTCCACCTGGTGCCATGGGGATGAAGGTTTCTGCATTCAAACTGTAATTCCTTGGAAACGAGCTGTTCTGGGATGAGTGGGATAAGTAAACAAGTGCTCTAGGCCACGCAGCTCTCCCTTCTCTCAGAGCCACAGCAATCATGGGCATAAACATTTCAGACATACTGCTGAAGTAGGTGAAAAAGACCCTGAATGAAGTAAAAGTCAAACCATAGTACCGAAAAGACCAGATTGCTTTTTTTTTGGTCTCTGTTTCAAATGTCACCTGTTATGGCAATGTACTCTCAGGACAAATGAGGCTTTTGGAGAGGACAAGTAAAGCTCAGTTTGAAAGAGGGTGGTTGTCCTTCAGAGGTGGTGCTTCTCTTCTCATTTCCCTCTGTAGTCAAGCACAAACAGCTGCAGGTCTTTACATAAACTCTAGAGTAGCACTCAAAACAGAAATGTAAAATTCAGTACATTAGAAGTTGTAAGCCCCAGCTAAGAAGTAGGTATAAAGGAGAGCTGGTTTGTTTTGGTGTTCATATCTTTACATTTCCATCACCTTCTGTCTGATACTTCATTTTGCTCAGATGTCTCAGACTTGCTGCTACCGTTACAAATGTTATGATCATTGGCGGCTAACACACAGTCCAGGTAGAGAAAGCAAGCAAAAGTAGAGGAAAAAGCTACAGTGCCTTCCTAATAATTTTTAAGATTATGGCTTCCAACATAGACTTGAAATCTGTGACTTGGATTCACCTATAGGTCTGAAGGAATCCTTAGCATGCATCCATTCCTGCTGCTGACAGATGGCAGAGCAGAGAAGGACGACTATGAAGATAACAGCATTTCACCCACAGCTTTGTCTTGCACTGTAGTAGCATAAGGTTGCTGTGAAATCAATGGTGTTTCAGAACATTTCTTGCACTGCCAAGGTTTCTGTCTGGAGGTAGCCCAAACACACAGTCTAGAAACTCTCCGTCTCGGCACAGAGGTCACACAAAAGAAGATTCCTAGCCAGCAGACAGGCAGGTTTATGTGGGTCAGAGCCGTTTCTTTTTGTGCCACGAGCCCTGCCTGCCCTTCCCACCTTCAACTGGGGAACTACAAAGCTTTAAGCCCCTCAAAACCTTTTTCCCCCTCAGCTTGTCAGGAAGGTGGCTAGGCAAGATACAGGAAGGAAAACCACGGAGAGACTGAAAAAACCTGGAAGTTTTAATATATTCCTACTCTCTGTCCCAATTGCTCCTTTTCCATGCATCAACAGTTTTAATAATCTGGAAAAAGCAAAACCTGAAACTGGAAAATCCTTTCCTACCCAGTGTCACAAAAGGCTCATCATATACTGAGAAACATTATGATGAGAGGCAATGCATTTAATATGTTCTCTCTCTTTCTTTAGTTCTGCATTTGTAAAATAGCTACTCTGAAACAAACAACCTGCATTTTAAAGCAAATAAAAAATTAGGATCTGCTTACGGAACCAAAGTTAATACAGAAGGGGCTTTTAAACAAGATAGATGAAGAAAGAAATAAATAAAGCAGTGAAATCACTCTTACGTGTAATCTCTCTCCACTACAAAAATAAACCACTGCTACATCTACGCTAAGCATATGTAGAGTAAACAAAACAGATGGAGGATTTCCCACTGCTGGTTCCTTTCTTCTAAGGGTGGTTATTTTCAGTTCATAAACTCTCAGCTGTCATCCCTGATTTATCCCCACCACAAATTTCTGCCGGGGTTACCCGGCTCCAAGCTGGGGCGATGAGGCACGTTTCCCAGCTCGCCACTCTTCCCTCCCTTCCAGCCACAACGTTTGTACCCGGGGTTTGTGCTTCTCTTGTAACCCTAGTTCCGTTCTTCCCTCGAAGAGGGCCTGACATTTAGTGCACCCCGTTTGTGCTCCCGCATGGTGAGATGTGTGTGAAGGAGAGGCACGCTCTGAGTCTGTTGGCAAGCATCCTCTTTTCTCCAGGGAGGGAAAAGGCGCTACTAGGGATAAGGAAACCCCGCCTGCATTCAGCCCACTACCCAAACAATGGCTTTATTTAAACATATAAAGACATCGCTGCACAGAGATCCTTTAAAAAATGTTTTCGCCGGAGAGAGAGACCGACCACTTATTTGCTGGAAAGGGCTCTTCCCGCCCCTTCCTACTCCTGCCCTCCCTCCTCCCCCCGCCTCCCTTCCCCGTATATTATTACTCTATGCCACCAACGTTAAAACAGCCCCACCGCGCTCCCTGTCCGCGCCGCGGGTGCGAGGCAGCCCTGCCCTCGCCGCACGCACCCGCCGGGCTGCTCCTCCGGCCCTTTCCCCGACCCGGCCCCGGCCTGGCCGCACGGAGCTGTCTACCCACGGCGGGTGCTGAACTGCCCGACGCGGCAGCGGTGGCCGGAGTCCTCCCGGCCTCTGCCCGGCGACCGGAGCCGAGGTAGGAGGCGGCGGGCGCCGCGGAGGATGGGGGAAGCCGGCGGCGACCCCGCGCCGGCCGCCTGAGCCCGCCCGCGCCCCGCACACAAAGCCTGGCAGCGGCCATGGAAGAGGAACTGAAGTGCCCGGTGTGCGGCTCGCTCTTCCGGGAGCCCATCATCCTGCCCTGCTCGCACAATGTCTGCCTGCCCTGCGCCCGCACCATCGCCGTGCAGACCCCAGAGAGCGAGCAGCACCTCCCGGCCCTGCTTCACCCGCGGAGCCCCGCGCCGGCCGCCGCCGCCGCGCCGGGGCCGGGAGCGGCCGCGGGCTCCGCCGCCTGCCCGGACTCGGAGTGCGCGGCGGGCGGCGGCGGCGGCGGGGACCACGCGGACAAGCTGAGCCTGCACAGCGAGACCGACAGCGGGTACGGCTCCTACACCCCCAGCCTGAAGTCCCCCAACGGTGTGCGGGTGCTGCCACTAGTGCCGGCGCCCCCGGGAGCGGCGGCTGCAGCTCCGCGGGGAGCCGGCCCCGCCAGCTCGTCCCTCACCTGCCCGCAGTGCCACAGGAGCGCCTCCCTGGACCAGCGCGGCCTCCGCGGCTTCCAGCGCAACCGGCTGCTGGAGGCCATCGTGCAGCGCTACCAGCAGGGCCGCGCCGCCGCCGCGGCCGCCGCCAAGTGCCAGCTCTGCGACCGCAGCCCGCCCGAGCCGGCAGCGGTGCTGTGCGAGCAGTGCGAGGTGCTGTACTGCGCTGCCTGCCAGCTCCGCTGCCACCCGGCCCGCGGGCCCTTCGCCAAGCACCGCCTGGTCCCGCCGCCCTCACACCCGGGCGCCCCCGGCGGTGGCGGCGACGGCGGGAAGGGGGCGGGCGGCGGCCGCAAGCTGCCGACGTGCGCCGAGCACGACCTGGAGAACTACAGCATGTACTGCGTGAGCTGCCGCAGCCCCGTGTGCTACCAGTGCCTGGAGGAGGGCAAGCACGGCAAGCACGACGTCAAACCCTTGGGCGCAATGTGGAAGCAACACAAGGTGAGACCCAGCGGTCAGCCCGGAGGAGCCGGGTGATGCTTGGCACTGGGGTTTGTCCCAAAGCCCCGATGTCAGGTTGCGGCTTGTGGGACATAAGGTTACTTCACATCCTTCACCCTCCCTGACTTTTCTTCCCTTGGCATGGTGTTCTTAGGTCTCTGGTCCTCCTTGCCTGCCCGTTGACTCTGCAACCCCTGCTCAGTGTTAGAAAACCCAGAATCCCTCCCATGTTGGCCTCACCGTAGCCAGGAAATTTTAGGCTCATCCAGGACTCAAGCAGAGACCTGGGATTAGCAACTGTTTCACTACCTTGTTTGCCTTCCACAGGGTCCTTAGCCATCCCATCCTCTCACAGGTGGCAGCAGCTGCCTGTGAGGAGATGGAATGGACATTTCTTCTTGCACCACCTCCCTTTCACCCGGGATTCAGCGCAAGCTGCCACAAATATTTTCCACCACATGTCAAGGAAGAAGAGTGGCCCAGAACCACCCAAGGAATTTAGGCAGGAAAGCATGATAAGAAGGATAGTGGGATATTGTGTTGTCTTCTGGGCCTCAAAGAGGTCTTACTTCCCCCTCAGTTTCCAAAGGGGCCAAGACGAGTGGGTGGAGGGACCTTCATGACACAAAGATGAGTAAGGAATCGTGGGGTGGATGGGGTTTGGGAACAAGCAGAGCTTTCTCTGATTCACATAATATCATAGTCTGATTCATGCTTCCCTGAAGCAGTGCACCTTAGCCCACCTGGAGTCCCTGAGGAGACGCCAGAGCCTGCTGCTTCACTACACAGGAGCTTTACCGAGGTCTGGTAGAGCTGCTGGGTCACTTGGCCATGCTCTCCTTGTTAAAAATAAAACTTTGCAACCTGAATGAAGAGCAGAACATGATCTTAGGCGTTGAAAGAGTGGATGAAGTTAACATTCTGGTTAAAAATGGTGGTCTCTGGAAAAATGATTAGTTAATACATGTGAATGTACAGAGGGGACTGTAATACCTGAGTGCTGACAGCAGTCCTCTGGAGCATCCCGCTGCACTGGGACGAAAGGACTTCCCCCACAGCTGGGCAAAGAGCACCTGGCCAGTGCTGCTGCCCACAGGATTACCTTCTTCTCACTTCCTGCTGCAGTTAGGTGTAAAGGAAGCACCAAGAGATCATTTCAGATGCTGCAGGAGAGGATGAAATCAAGAGCAGTCTCACCATCTCTCAGCTTTGGGGTGGTCGGGCACAAGCTAGGCTAAGACATTTGGCAAGGCAGAAAACTGACTTTTGATTTTTAAGATATTAAAAATATGCCCCTTGGGTTATTTGCATAGTTTGTCCATCTGAGAAAGCAAAGTTCTTCAGGACATGTTTCAGTTTGAGTGCTCTGCCAAGGGCTCAGCCATCTCCTCCCTAACATGAGGGGTATTTGTGCAGAGGAGAAGTTCTCTGGGCCCAGAAGAAGCAGGCTGTGAATTTGTAGCTATTGCTGGTTATGCCAATGGCAGAACCCACTTTGGAGCAGAGTTATTTCAATGAACAAGGACTGAGTTCACTGTTCAAGTGTGGCTGATGTTCTGGAGAGTGTGAGAGATCAGCTTGTGTTTATTATGTTCTACCTTGAGCTAAAACTGTTTAACGCTTTTCTGAACAATGTGATAAACTCTGGTGTAATCAGAATCAGTCATTTTCTCTCTTTCCCACTATCAAATATTGTCAAAAGCATGAACAGTCCCCCAGAGGGTACTTTTTTCTGGGACTAAGGTATCATAGAATGTAATTTTCTCCTGATTTACAGACTCAAACAGTGTGAAAAATCTAGTGAAAGAAAAAAATACTCAAAATTAACTAATTTGGGAACTCTGAAATTGTGCTCTTGTGACTATTACTTTTCCCAGAACAATGCACTTGGAAGAAAATAAATATAATGGGACTGTATAACCAGACAGCCTAAATCATCAGCTCACATCCACTCAGATAAACTGGTTTAGAATTACATACTTCTGCTTAGAAATTGTTCTCAAGTACAGCAATTCCTACAAGTTTATTACCTGTAGTTACTTCATCCAAACCGTAAGTTACTTACATTGAGTGGCCTGCCAGATGTAATTCACTTTTTATGTGTTCTCTCCAGATGCTCCAGGTGTAGCTGGTAGAGACAGCTGGAATGGCTTGACCATGAGTGTTCTTAGCTCAGTAGATCTGACAGACTGACAGTTGTTCAACATCAGCTGATAAGCACCTGCTTACCTCCCTTTGAGGCCAGAGACTGGTATTCTTCACATAAGAAGGACTGCCAGAGCCATTTCCCCACTTCTCAGACCACAGTTTCATCCCACAGCCACAAACTTCAAACTTTTTTTTCTATTGACTGTGTGGAACTGCTTTTCCAGAAGCCTTGCTCACCTTCAGCTTCAGGATCCATTTCCATTCCACTTCTCGGTTAGCCTTTTCAAACTGTTTGACAGCTTCTTTGTCTGGGCATTATATAGTGATCTAGTGGCAAATCTCAGAGTGCTTTGCCTTGTCTGTACAGTGCTGCAGACCATGCATTGAAATCATGGTATCATAGAATGGTTTGAGTTGGAAGGAACCTTAAAGATTATCTGGTTCCAGTCCTCTGCCCTCTTTGTAGAGACACCTTCCACTAACAAAGGTTGCTCAAAGCCTCATCCAATCTGGCCTTGAACACTGCCAGGGATGGGGCAGCCACAGCTTTTTGGGGCAACCTGTTCCAGTGTCTCACCATGAAATGGTCATTTACCCTCAGCTTTAGTGCTGGCATGAAAGTTGAACTCGACTGGCTGTCTCCCGTTAATGGCTCGGGTTCCCCATGGCGCTGCTGTATGTAACTCCTCTTACAGAGAAATTAAAAATGATGTAAAATAACAACAGGGTTCCAGTGGCATAAAATTGTGAAAATCCACTAACTCAGCTGGATTCTGTTACATTCATCTGTATTGAAAAGTGCAGCTGGACCACCAGTTTAAGGTTATCAATTAAGACTCTGTAAGTTTTTTTTCCAAAGATAAGTCCTTTTATGTCTTCATGAGCAGGAACAGTGACACCATTGTCAGATTTAAGTTGGTAGGCCTTTTGATCTACCAGTAACAGGAATGATCGTGGACACATTTCACCTTCAGGACAGTGGACACATTTCAGACAGTGGTCACATATTGCCCATTTAGATTGGGCAAAGCTAAAATATATACGTATTTTTTGGTGACAGGGTTTAGTGTGAGGTGTCCCTGCCCATGGCAGGGGCGTTGGAACTAGGTGATCTTAAGGTCCTTTCCAACCCTAACTGTTCTATGATTCTATGATTTTATGATCTATTGAAACACTGAAAAAAGTCATAGCTGGATAGGTCTCTGAAAGGCAGGCAAGCAGGTGACTGAAGGCAAGTGTTGGAGTCCAAATACCTGTTATTATTTGCTGGCCTAAAGAGTTGTGTTCCCCCCAGAATGCGGGCTGTTTCAGAATTCAGCACCAGAGTGAGCTTATCTAATCAATAGTTAATATGCTACTAAAGAGAGACAGAAGGAAAACAAGTTAAATGAGCATGAACTGTTCGGTTGAAAAAGGACATGGGCATTATCTGGTTCATTTTCTAAAATCAAAGGAAGCGTCTGTCTTCCATGCCTACCTGAGTTTAATTACTCACCCTTGTTATCTCTCTCTGTGTTCCTGTATTTGATAGAAGTAGAAACTTGGTACCCATCTCCAGCATTCACATTATTTGTTCCTAGACCAGGTATTCAGGTAAAGATAACACCAGCTAGAATACTGTTTGTCAGGAGTTATTAATTGTCACAGTCAGTGGAGCTAGTAACTTTTCAGTTTGGCTTCCAGTAAATATTTCTGCAGTATGAAAGATTGCTCTGAGGGTACAGGGCATTTTCTGTGGTTTGGTTGGTTTACCGAGGGCTTAGTCATGGAGCTCTATTTGATTTGAATGGGGAGTGCATGATTAAATTCCACTGCTTTGTAAGGTATCCGTTACAAATGCTTGGAAAAACAAGGCTATTATCTCTAAGTGGGTTTCACAAATGGAGATCTGGTCTCCTCCTCAGCTTCACGCTGCAGTTGCATTAATGCAGCCACAGGTTTTAATGAACACGGCTATTCACTCATGAGCCCTTTGCGCAACGACATTGTTGAGTTTCTATTGCAGCAATTTGTGCTGGAAGTGCTGTGAGCGTGCCGGGATCCAGGAATGACTGCATGGATTGCCAACAGTACATATGCCAGTTACAATTTGCCTGTGGTGATCAGTTTTCTATAGCTGCTGTGGGCCTACATACTGCTTTTGGCTCTTCTTGTCTGGTGAAAAGCACTTTGAGATGATTTGAGAGCTAGGGTAGATGTGGAAAAAGTGGAAGTATTACTTTTGTCTGGACCAGCCCTTGGTTTCGATTTGAAAGAAAGGAACCCTTGCCTCCAATTTAGCTGGGCCAGTCAATGGCAGGGCATATCATGCTTTTGCTACCTATTTCTTTCCCGCTTCCTCCCCAGCCATGACTGGAACCCTTTCAAGGACCTGGAGTTTGCTTCCATGATCTCTAGTAGCATTCATACCAAAGATCATAACTTTGTATTTTTGTGCAGTGACAGGAGTTTGTTTAAGAGAATGCAAAATATTCGAATATCAAGAAACAGACACAGTAATGTATCCTCCCGTCGCATGTTACAAATGAGTTGTAGTAGAGCATATTTTGTTTTCAAATTTAGCACAAATGTAATACCTACAACTAGGCTAAAAGGCAAAAGTTTGTGTGAATATGAGGAAAAAACACTAGGATGGCTTCTTTCTAATTCAATCCGAGATCCCATTCAGGGTTTGTACCCACTTGCCAGAGAGGTGTGTGGAGTTAGGCAGTACCTCTGCCTGCGTAAGGCTGCCTGCCTCAGAGCTGGGTGTGAAATGCCCATGAGGAGTTGCCAGGGTCTGCTCTTTCCTGTCCTGCATGAGTAAGTGAGCACAAAGGAAGGATGAGTAGGAGACATTCAAGTGGAAGGTAAGCTCAAACCTTTGGCAGCCTGAAGAAGTGAGCTGTGCCCTTTTCAGGGGTGATTAACTGCCTTCCAGGAGCAAGAGGAAAACAGGGAATGAGTGGTGCCTTACTGAATTTCAATCAGGTCTCCTCTTAGAGGCTCATAACCTTTGTGCCTTCCTACTTAAAAGGCTCTGTCTCAAGGCACACCCTAGTCCTAAGGAAACAAGAGATGGCAACCTCCTGAGAGCCTGATGATAGCAAAGATGCTCCATCTTCCATTTCCAGTTGTCAATTATTGTATCTGTTTGGTGAGGATAATTAAGTAGGTAGGCATTGGCAATCTGGTAGTTGCCAAGTCTGCCTGAGAGGTAGACCCACAGAGTCTAACCAGCAGGGCACTCCCAATGGGACCTATCTGGTCACTTACATTTGCACAGAGAAGTAATGCTGGAGCTGGGCTTGCCATGTGCTGATAAGCAGAGCAGTATGGTTTCTGTAATCCCAGCCAGGCTTCCAGGGAAGTTGCACCAGGGCTGCTCTACTCAGACCATGGTGGTTCTGGGTCTGCCGGGGGACAGAACCACTGTTTACTTCCTGTCTTGGAAGTCCATTGAGAGCCTCCGGTTTGGCTTAGGGATCCCAGGTGCCAGCTGAGAAGAGGGGAGCTTAGGTCTTCAGTGTGTACATACAAAAGTCATATTTCATATGTCTCACCAGTAAAAAGTTAAGAGGAAGGGTTTTTTCCAACTTCTCCGGGAATATTCACCCTTTTATTGGATTGGAGCATAGGAAAATGGAGCCCCAAAGGGACATTACTATGAAGTCTGAAAATGCAGCTTTATGCTTGAAGTCCTATAGTGTATCTCAAATTTGGTAAGGTCTACCACATTTAGAAAGAGTTAACGCTTTGATGAAAAAAAAATTAGTGACGGTTTGGAAAGCATTTGGGGATTTTTTAGCATGACAGATGCTACTGTGTAAGTGTAAGACTATTAGCTCCTTATATACGTGGGTAGCTGTCTTATAAAAAGATATTTTGACTTACCAAGTTACTGCAATAAAATGGAATGTGCAGACACAATACTTGATTGCCCCCACACGCAAATTTCACCTTTATTAAATTTTATTACAATGAAAATCTTAGCTATGCTTTTCTAGCACAAACACGGCACGTTAAGAATACATGCGACAGGAAGTAAGCCTTTTAGCACATTATTAATCATCAAACCCAAGGATTACTAAGAAACACATTTGCATTTTATCTCTAATTTTCCCTTTTTTTTCCTTCCTTGCAGGCACAGCTCTCTCAGGCTTTAAATGGTGTTTCAGATAAAGCAAAGGAAGCAAAAGAATTTCTGGTCCAGCTGAAAAATTTATTGCAGCAGATCCAGGTAACTGCAGAATATTAGCTGTTTTGATAATACCGTAATCAATAGAACTGAGTGAATAATTCATTTGATGACTTTGTCTCCTGTGCTATTCTCATATTTCCTGGAATCATCTAAGCTTTCTTGAATAGATTTTCTAGGCAAATTATTCAACAAATAATGCCTGCAAGCCCTTCTTACCTTCTAAATTGTTTGTTGTTTATTGCAAGAAGCTGATACTCGATACTGGACATTTAAGCTGTGTTGATTAGTATTTGATTGAATCCATCGGTCATGTGTCTGGACTTCTTCCTGACTAAAATTGCTGGAACTGAGCATTTAGGATAAGTTCTCATTTTAACACATTCAAAATTTACTACTTGCTTTCCATCTTGCATTTTCTAAAAAATGTACTAGTTTCTGGACAAAATCCAGTCAACCTGTATATTAGGGTATTTGTAGGAAGTAAAAAACAGAACAAAGAAATGCTGCTAAATCAATGTGGTCATTTACTGAAGTAGAGGTGTTTTCATACCTGTAATTGTCCAGCTTTAATAGTCAGAAAAGGGCTCATGGTGAGTGCAGTAATTGAATGCACAAAACCAAAACGAAACCTGTCCTATTTTCAACCAAATTTAGACTCATCACTGCTGGAGGTCAGATGATCCTCAAGGTCTTTCTTACCCTGCAGAACATGGCTGGGAATGTGCCACCATAGTTTGAGCTATGGGCACAGTGCCCAGGAGAGGACACTTGCTATTCACAGTAGTGGTGCTCTGTGGTGGTGGGTTTTCTGTGGGATATACATCATCTGCTCTATGACATGCTCGCTCTGCTGCTCACTCATCTTCCATCAACAAACAAGTCTTGTGCCTACTAGTAACAGAAAAAATGAAGTAGAAGTTAAAAAATCTGTATTTCGTTTAGAATTTTATCAATAAAATATTCCACTTAATACCCTTGATGATGAATTTGTATCACAAATGCTGCCCAAGCTCTCAGGTTGCCACAGGGCAGCATAGTTACCCACCCTCACAGTTTTCTGTGGACAAATGGGAAAGGGAACAAACCAAGACTGAGAAATTGGTGGGAAAAAAAGCACATCTAACTGAAAGAAACCGACGTGAAGCCATCAGCTGGTACCTGTCACGTGCTATATTTTGGACACAGTGTAAGGTTTCTCTGTACTGACTTATTTAAAAGTTACATAGCTGATCTAACCTAGTCATTTAGACTTCTTTCTTTGCTGAAGGAGAAAGATGGACATCTTTAGAGAGCAGTTCTTCCTATAGGTATGCACAGCTAATTTAGGATGGAATAGCTCATTCAAAAGGGTAGTCTATCACCAATCTTGTCTTGGGTCATCTAGCGCTATTAAAAATCTATTTTTCCCTCCTGAGACCTAAAGGTGGTCTATTATGACTGTTTATGACTTTGCTGTAAAATCCTTTAAAGTGTTCCAATAAAATCATTGCCAAATTGCTCTGCATAAGGGAGCTGCTACAATTAGATCAAAAGAGCAAGCCATTTATTTAATGCTGCTGATTGCTAAAAGAGTAGTCAGAAGAGGCAATATCACCCACTGACATTTAGGCATGTCTGGGCACAAAGCTGAATCTGGCCCTCATATGTTGAACCAGACACCATTGCGAGTCTAGTAAGGACATGGAATTTCAGCAGATGGAAACAGCAGGACTAATCAACTGCATATGTATTTCTAAGTAAAACAAGGCTAGGCAGAGCTCTGAAACCATCAGCCACACACTTTAACCCCTAGTGAGCTCCCTGGCATGGTTTTCTCCCATGGCAAATTGCACTCTTCTCAGGTGATGCTCAAGCAGCATTTGGTGATAGCACATACCAGAGAATGCTGCTGGTAGGCAGGTTCGATACAAGCACACTATTTGAGGGGAAACGGTTAAGACCTGTCCATGAACTAGTTGGTGTCTTCTGGCATCTGGGCAAAAAAACCCAGTTCTTGGACAGTTACTTGTGGAGGAATAGGTTTAGCCTTCATGCATAGATTTATATCCAGAATCACGTATCTCAGAGCAGGTTATTTCTAATAAAAGTCTTATGGTGGTTGCCTAACATTTACCCCTCAGCAAAAATGTCTTTAAAATATATGCTTACACAAAGGAGTAATTTGTACATTTTATTACCCTGTCTCAACGCACAGCAGACCAGACAGCCATCTGCACTCTATTTCGTCTCTAGTTTGCCACAGCTACAAGGAGCTGTGCTTCTGTGTTGCTGGGAGCAGTTTGTAAATTCATTACTTTTCTTTTCCATGCTTTGTAGACCTGTTGTTTCCCCCTCTTTTTTCCTTCCCTTCTTCTTTCTGAGGTCACTTTTAAATGTTTTGACCTCTTCTTTTCAGAAGCTGCCTGTTCCTCGTTGCTCCTGTTGCTTCCTTGCTCCTTGTTGCTGTTATGATCTGATTTTCACATTTTCCCATCTGCTGTAACAATTCCATCTTTTCTCACTTGAAGAGGCGTATTGCCAAATGTTTGATGTGTGAATAGAAAATGAGGAGAGAAATTATGCACTACAGCCATCAACTAATTTGGGCTCTGTACGCAAACCTGCACTTCAAGGGTAGCTGGATGGAAATGGGCTTAAGGGGGAGTTGAGTGTGATATAAGCCAAGGAGGGAGAGATGCAAACAAGAAGAGTCTAAGACAAACCTGTGAACAGTAACTGAGCTGTCTGGTGCCTCTGCACCCACCCATCTTGCTGGCAGGTCTAGGACTGTGATGGTGACCTGTCAAGGAGGAGCAACCCTACATCCCTCAGCTGGAGAATGGCATGCATGGATTGCATGGGAGGTGAATGCAGTGCTGATAGGAAAATGAACATCTCCTCTGAAGAGGAGCTTGAAAGCTTTCTCCTTCTGGTCTCACAAGCAGAGGAAGCGAGGGAGAGACTCCCCGGAATGTGAACTGCAGCATCAGTTCCACGGCCAGAAAAAGGAATCCCTGGGAGGAGGGAAGGCTCAGCACCTTGTAGTACCATCTGGTCAGATTCCTACAGCTGCATGGGATTCTGTGGTAGTATGGTTTGTTCCCTATTGATAGGACAGGGGTTTATGTAGTGATAAGTGATATCCAACTACTCAAAGCTCAGTGTTGTATACCTCAGATGCTGGCCTCTGCCTAGCAGAGAGTTTGACCACAATATGAATAAAAAACTGCCGTGTATTTCCTTTTTTTTTCTTTTTAAAGCTAATGAAATACGTCTCCACTGCCAAGTGCTGGCTATCTTTAAAGAAGTACTTGAAGCAGTACACAAATCTTAGGGCTTTGATTTCCTTGTAATAAACCTGTAGACCAGATTCATAATTCTATTCTAATTGCCATGGTATAGAACCAGTGATTTCAAAGTTCCTACAGTGGGATAATTAAAACAGAATGGGGCAGAATCTTCTTACATATATGCATGCACTGTGTACGTTACATTTAGCTTTTGCATTATATTGTACTATGTCTGTTGTCCATGAAGTGCCAGTAAATCAAGTTTTTGAATAAGCCTATTTGTGGCATAGCATCCTCCTGTTTCATTTTATAGCATGCAGCTATTACTGGTACAGCTGTAATGAAATCAGCAAGGCAACAGAAACGCTGAGGTCTTGAAAGGAAATCTTTTCTGAATAGAAAAACAGGTAAGAATGAGCAAAAGCTTAAGATGTGAAATACGCTTTCTCTGATGAGCATAATAACTCTCACTTCCTTCTAGGAGAATGGGTTGGATTATGAAGCCTGCCTTGTTGCTCAGTGTGATGCCTTGGTTGATGCGTTAACACGACAGAAAGCAAAACTGCTCACAAAGGTGACCAAAGAACGTGAGCACAAGCTGAAGGTGAGCACAAGTCTCACCAGCTGAGCACAGCTGCTGATACCTCTTGTTACTCTGTGTTTTGTCAGGTTCCCAGCCCTTTATACCATGAAAATTCTTAGTGACCAAATCTTAAAGTCCTTTAGCAGGTTCCAGTTCAGCAGTTTAATGGAACATTATAATTTATACACTTAAAATGAGGTGTGTACTTCAGCAGTTCTTTGAATTAGGCCATCAGTCTTTATTTCTTTGATGGTTTGGGGTTATCTTTTGAGAGTGAAACCTGTGTGTGGTTTGCATTCAGGGACCTTCTGCCCAAGTAAAATGTTGGGATTTTGGTGTCTCGTTAAACCTTTGAAATTCAGGCAAGCCCCCTCCAGAAATCCATGTGCCACTCAAAAGATATTAAAGGAATGCATTGAAGAGTGGTGGGGAGAAGAAAGCTATAAATGGTTAAACAAAGTGGCAGCCAAGAAATGTTTAAATCAACACATTTCTTGAAATGTTGAACTGTATATGTGACTTTGAGGTATTATAGTGCCAGAAACATCAATGATGTCTAAGACAAAAGGAGAAATTGAAGTGAAATATCTAACATGTCAAACAATGAATGAAATCTACCTGAGATCAGCATTTGAAAACACCCATGCATAACAAGAACCAACACTTAGGACACACTGATAACAGCACAGCTAATCCTGCAGTTTATTCCTGCCAGGACTTGTGCTGTTGAGTGCAGTGCTATTAGGCCTAGTCTGCAGCCATGTGGCAGCACAATCAGGTCCAATATGTGGAAAAATGAGACGTAGCCTTTTTTATTTCTTAATCCCAGCAATGCGTTCTTAAGCAGAGCAGGATCAATGGTGAATTGTGAAAAGAACAGTAGAGTATAATCTACAAGAAACCACGCCTGCACTTACCCTCTATAATACTTGCCTTGTAAGTAAAGGATTTTTTAAAAGCTCAGATTTCAGTGAAAGTGTGATTGTAAATGTGAATCCTGCAGATGCAGAAACATGTTCTGTGCTCTTTTTGCCCCAAGCAAGCCTGATCTTTGAGCAATTAATCTGCTCTGAAAATCAAGATTCCCTGTGCACGTTTTGCCAAGCTAATTATCAGTATTTACAACACAGAACGAGTGAGTGTAGCTGATGGAGACATGGCAATGGCCATATGGCAGCTAAATTAAGCATAGATTTAACACACTCTTCCATTTGCTGTCTCTTCTGAAATAATCTTATACAATTCTCTGTAAGCTGAGGCAGTATCAGAGCTGTACTGATGCTTCTTTTCCAGGTTGTCTGGGACCAGATAAATCACTGTACTCTGAAGCTACGCCAGTCAACGGGGCTTATGGAGTACTGCCTAGAAGTTATCAAAGAAAATGATCCCTCTGGGTTTTTACAGGTATTTTTCTTTCTGATGTTCTGGGGAGGAAAAAGAAAAGACGCTAAAGTTAGATCTAAAAAGAGGATAGCTTTGCTAATTTGCCTCTTCCACAGCTGAGGCAGGTTCACCTTAACTCCTGTTAGTACTGTCTAATAGCTCTGATAGCCTGGTGGCTGCATGAATGTCCCAGCAAAGGGATGGTTTTGAACAGGCACGCTCTGACCGAGGCGCAGTTAATGACAGCTTTCTCCAGCATATTATCTTATTCTCATCTGAGAAACTCAACACAGGGCCTTACAGAGCTCTCTGATCAATTTGGAAAGATCTGTGACTCAGCAAATAGTATTTCTCCCCTTTTCAGTTCTCCCCTTTTCATTACTCTTTCCCATGAGAAAGAGTCCCTTCAACATCTCCCCTGTGTGGAAAGCCCTTAAGGGCTTGTGTGTAGCTTTGCTTTACTGGGTTTGTTTCACCTCACAGGGCAACAAAACCTGTCTTGTAGCTGGAAGATTCAGGTACCCCCTCTTTGCAAAATATGGCCTAGCCAATAGCTGTCTTAGTTTGCAGGATATTGTTAGGTGCAAGCAGTGAAACTGTCTATTGATGAGAAAACGTAACAGTTTTACTAATCCAATAAATTATTTTGCCTAATTAATACTTATGGTTTTATTAATTATTTTGTTTTGCCCCATTAGTTTTGTTGCCTTATTAATTGCCTAAGAAGGAAGGCACCTCAGACAAAATGATCTGTGGCTGTCAGCTGAACAGGGCACACTGCATACATGAATGCATGAGTGTTGGGGGCTATCACTGCATCCCTAAAAACCACAATGAGAATTAGCCAACTTAAACCGATTAGCACTCCAGATTGATTGTTACTGTCACGTCTGGTCTCAAGCAAGAGTGAGGAATGTGTGGTGTATATTAATCTCAAGTTTACACAGATTTTAGCAGGCTGTTGGTTGGATACTGCAGGGCAAATGAAACCTTTAGGTCTTATCTACGTACTGGCTAGATACATGCTTCTTTTGCACTTCAGCTTATTTTTCCTGTAACCTTTTTGGGTTCATTCTTTGCAGTCACCTTTTATAAAAAAATTTTACCTTCGCCTGGTTTATCTAATGATGCTTTCAAGGCAACAAGCAAACACTGAGGCACTGCATTACTTAAAGCAACCACTCCTGCAGCCAGCATGTTGAACACAGCTAAGGGATCCCTGTAAGTGACTCCAAGGATGTAAGAATGCTATGAGAAGCTCCTTCACTTTTGCAATTAGGAGCTGTTGATGCAGAGGCTCAGACAGGAGTGCCTTCCAGTAACAGTAATAAGAAAACGTATCTGAACTTCTACGATAAACTGTCTCTGACTTAGCCAGAAGAAAATTCTGCTCCCTGTGACTTACACAGAGCTCACTGAGAAGGTCTCCAGATATTCAAAAGGCAGCTTCACTGAATTCAAGGACAGTTGAGCTCCTGATTTCCACAGAGCCAGGATTTCACTTCCAGAAGAGTCCATTGCAATCATCTTAGTCTGATGTTTGGCCTAGTTGTCTGTGGGCTTAGCTAGAGTAAAGCTTTAAAAATGAAATTCAGTTTAGATGTAATCATAGAAAACCCATCATATTCTTTGACAACTTAGCACCCACCCTGTGAAAAATATACGCCTTCCTTCCCGTGTGATTTTTTTAATACCTTTCAGCTTTCATGCACTGAATCACGGGTACTGAATGCAGAGACCCTCTAACATTTAAGCCTCTCTTTGTGCAGCTGTGTTTTAAACAGGAGAGCAAAACTAGACTGTGCAGATCAGAGAACAGAGTGCAGAAGTATATGTGGCATTCAGAGGCATGAAATATAACACAATATTAACAGGCTTTATAAATGTGATTTTTACTTTCCTACCCTAAGATGAGATTTGTTTTGAAAAGATGAGATGAAAGGATGCAACACAAATGGACCTTACACCAAAATAACCAAATCCCATCTCAGCAGTTGTTCTGTGGTATTCCTGCTTTCTTTGTGCTGTATCTCCCAGACATTCTGTCACTTTTAATGTGTGCATCTGCCATTTCATTATAAATAATATAAATACCTAAGCCTGATAACTCTCTTTCAGATTTCAGATGCTTTAATCAAGCGTGTTCAGGTATCTCAGGAACAGTGGGTCAAAGGAGCCTTGGAGCCAAAAGTGTCTGCTGAGTTTGACTTGACTCTGGATAGTGAACCTTTGCTGCAGTCAATTCACCAGCTGGATTTTATTCAGATGAAATGTAGGGGTGAGCTTTTATTGTTTTCTTTTTTCTTGTTTTCATGCATATGTCGAATTGGTGCCGGGAGGGACAGGGGCGCCAAGAGAAGAGAAAGGAGTGACTTGAAATTTCTGGGTGGTTGTAAAAGGTTTTCAAGCAAATTCGGGTTACTGGGTGTTTCCTAAAAAGGTGTGCTCACCTCACTGAACAAGCTCATCAGAGATACCAGGTGCCGTTAAAGATTTGAGAATATCTATAAATTCTTCAGAGAAGGGCTGTTTATCAGCTTTGAAGATTAAAAAGACATCAGCTGCATGAAAGCTTATGCCATTCTACAGCATTCTTTCATTTAACACGGTTAATTCAAAATACCAATTACCCCAATCTTGTTAGAAACAGCTGAAGTAGTAAATAAATATTCCCCACACACACATGCTTGAATAGGGAAAAAAAACCCAACCCTTTGACTTATATCTGGACTGTGCTGTAAACAGTGCCCAGCTTAAAACAAATAATGAGGCAGAGATTCCCAAGGGGAAAGTAACTCCATGGCTAAATCTTTCCTTGATTCCAGGTATCTGAATAATTCCAAGGGACATACTAAGGGGAAAGAAGATTTTCAAAAGCATTTAAAAGCAGAAGCTGATGAACAGTAAATGCCACTGGCAAAGAAAAAAGATACTAACAGCATGCACTTGTAATAAGCTTGGTTTTATATGGAGCAGGATGAGAACTGCATCAGAATTAGATAGATCCATAGACCAGCTAGATTTGAAGACCGTTGTGGTCCCTGGGAATGATGCCATTAGCTTCCCCCAGTGCTGATTCAAGCCTTAATTATACATCGGGTGACAGGGTAGAGGCTGCCAGAAGCCAATGAATGAGTTAAGGATAATAGTGTTGTGATGTCGGATTTCCTTTTTTTTTTTGACTCCAAGCAAGCATAAAGATTTCTGTTCAGTTTATCTGTTCTCCCTGGGCCTAATTCTGAACCTACGGGACCCAAGATGAAGTAATTAGGGTGGATAATTTGAGAGATGAATATGTGGAGAAACAATGGATAAAGCGTTAAGAGCCAAAGTCTGCTCACAGAGAATGGTTTGCATCTTGGCATAAACAGGCTGTGGTAAAGTTACTCAAAAAACACCTGCAGACTTTTCCTTTGAAATGTTGACAGCCAGGAAAGCAGAGTCAAGAGAAAAAGAGTGTCACTGATGAAACTTCTCCAAACACTGTCTGCACTTGTCTTTTTTATTCAGTTTAGATTTCATGTTGACCATATTAATTGTTCAATATATTTAATACTAATCTTCCACCACTCTCCTTCCCGAAAGTATAAAAATGCAGTTAAACTATCCAGTTAGATTGCTAATTAACCAGAGGCCAGTTGAGGTGAGAGCAGCTTAGGTATTTGGCTTTTGGACATTCATCTGTCTTTAAGCTTGAAGACTTATGAGACTTTAATTGAGCCAGATTCACTGGAGCTTTATGAAAGATAGTGCTGTTTGCTACACTCTCATTTATCATATGATCACAGTGAAGCTCTGTTACTAAGCTAGACACAATCTGAAGAGCAGAAGAGAGGACAGGACTGCTTGAACACCATTGGGCTTTGCTCCCCAGAGGCACCTTAACAGCTAGCCCACATGAAGGGCTTTTCCTTGATCTATCTTGGCCTTGACCAGGGACTGCCTGTTGCATGTCCCATCCAGTTGATCAACACAACTGGTGTGACCATGTACACACCATGCAAGTATGGTGGAAATGGCATTAACCTGGCTGCAATTCCTGAAGATGCATAAGGGATGGCATTATTTCCCCTTTCATCTCTGTGTGCCCAAGCAGAACAAGCCACTAACGCGTCCCAAGCTTACATTCACAGGTATTGAGAATTGTTTAGTCTATAAAGGTGTATTTATATTTTTTCAGTTTATGTCATTGAATCTATATGCATTTGCACTACTTAGTCTGGAAATTTGGCACTTTTTTTCCTAAATTTTGCCTCTGTGGCCTCAACTAGCCCTGCATTATCTTCTCATGCGTAGTGGTCTTGCATCTAGAGATACAGGTACAACAGAGAACTCACCATTTCAGCAGTGAGCACCAGACTTACTGGGAGCACCAGTTTGCTGACCGTGAGGAGAAGCTGGTGTTTCAGGTGATGTTTTGCTATTTATTGCCATCAGAATTTGTATATTTCTTAGCCCCCGATTTTAGAAAGAAAAATCTATGTGTCCCTTCACATATGCCCCTCTTTCTCCAATCCTATCTACCCTAGCAGACCAACAGGTCATCAGTCTTTGCCAAATGTTGGGTGTCAAGGGGAGTGATATTAAGTCACTATACTGGTTCATCTGACAAGAGTAAATGCATTAAAGACATACGAGACTATCTGCAAAGGGAGTTTAAGGGAAGCCTAGGAGAATAGGACCAGCATGACCTTTCCATCTGCAAGCTGCTTTGTTCCAAAAGCTTTGCAATATAAGGTCTGTACTATTGTTATCGATGCTTAGTGCATGAGTGAATGTCTCTATTTTTTTCCAAACTTTGGCCTCATTCAACCTCAGTGAGCTTGCATGGGTCATTTAGAGTGAAAGCATGCTTGTAAGTAAACATTGATTCACTGTGGTAGACAAAGAAGAATGAAAATGAGAACAAATCACATTGCATTTGCTTTGATGACTTGTTCATGTACCTTACTGGTGGACTCTATAAGCCCTTATCTAAAGCTTATTTCAATAAATAAAGATCTTTTTTTTATAGAAAGAAAAAGCAATCTAGTAACAAATTAAGTGTGCAGAAATATGATTGATGCAGAAGTAACATTTAAGCAGTTATGTTGACCAAAGGGTCTTACTGATAGCCCTTTGGCAAGAGCCTCATGCTCACCAGGGTAGCTGACATGCTGAGACACATACACAGCTCTAGTAATTGCTGGCATTATAAGCTTTCTCAGATCCCTTTCTTCTGTCCAAGTTTTCTCCTCTATACTGCTTTTTCTGAGTGCCTTGGCACAAAATTCCTGTCCTCTTTGATGGCTGGCTGAATGCATATAGCACAGTTCCTCAGTTCAAACTAGGGGCACAGGCAAATACGTGTTCCAGTTTTGTTTTGTTCAAACAGCTGGAACTGTCATTGTCATACAACCTTCTTTTGATGCAAAACAGAGACTAGGTACAAAGCAGGAAAAAATACAGTTTCTCTCTACTTCTGTATACCACCTCTGAATACTCACTGATATGCTACTTCTCTTTGTCAGGAGTGACTCCTTCTGCAAACCAGTCTATGACACATCTCTTGTTGCAGATCTTTGCATTTCCAGCCATGAGCTGCACAGCCCTGACAATGAAAGAGTAACCGTTCCTTTGTAGGCTTTGTCCCTGGTTCTGTTTGCATTGTGTCATGGACACACATCTTTGCCTGTGGTCTTTCCTTCTCTCTCTGTAACACTATTTGTAGGGTACTTCCTACAGCAGTGACTCATGCTATGTGAGGGTTCATATGGCAGTTTTGGAGGAGGTTTTCACGTTTCTGAGGGTCCCGTCCTTTCACTGCACTTAGTCCTCTAAAAACTAACCTGGAAAAGTGGAGGGCATCCTTGCACAACTTGCTTGTCAAGAGGACAAATAGCAGACAGCATCTTGGAGCAGCCCTACTCTATCCTGAGAGATCAGCTGTGAGACACATTGAGCAATGCGTTTATGAAACTGCTGAGTTGACATGAGACATCAGTATCACATTTTTTAGCTAAGTGCATGCAGCACTTTTAAATAGCAGGATATCATTCAGACTCATTAATAGATCTTGCTGTGCCAATGCAGCATCATTTGTCCCTTTATATTTTTAATCTTTTCCTTCAAAACCTCTCTAGAGGACCTTTAGTTAAACAAGAAGTGGGACAGCACCGTAATTTAACATCTGAGTCTTCTTTTTTTCCTGACACTTAGCCTGTATTTTTCTTTTCTTAGTCCTGTCCCATTGCCCTTCACTATGAAGTATATGCCAGTGTCCAAATTATTCAACTCACTTCACACTTTCCTATGACTTTTACAAGTATTCACCTTTTCTTCTCCCAGAGGGAATCTGAGACCAAAGCAAATCTCTGCCCATCTGCATCCACATGACGAGGCAGAAGGGCAGCCACAGCAAGTGCCATCCAGCAAAGCTGCACAGCTGCCTGGTAGGAGCTTCTTACCTCTCCTTCAGCTACTGCAGGTTGTGCAGTGCCTGCCCAAGGGCAGTAGGAAGCTGATAAATTTAAATGTCCAGTGACACAGTAAAGAAGCCCAGGAACTTCCCTGTAGTAGATGTGACTCTCACATGTAGGGCCAAAATTCAAACTGCCCATGGGAGGTGGGAACAACAGTGCTTTACTGTATGAAAACATAGAATCATAGAATCGTTAGGGTTGGAAAGGACCTTAAGATCATCTAGTTCCAACCCCCCTGCTGTGGGCAGGGACACCTCACACTAAACCATATCACCCAAGGCCTCGTCCAACCTGGTCTTGAACACTGCCAGGGATGGAGCATTCACAACTGCCCTGGGGAACCCATTCCAGTGCCTCACCACCCTAACAGGAAAGAATTTCCTTCTTATATCCAACCTAAACTTCCCCTGTTTAAGTTTTAACCCGTTACCCCTTGTCCTGTCACTACAGTCTCTAATGAAGAGTCCCTTCCCAGCATCCCTATAGGCCCCCTTCAGATACTAGAAGGCTGCTACGAGGTCTCCATGCAGCTTATGTTCATTTTCTCATCGACCAGCACCCCCAAGTCCTTCTCCACAGGGCTGCTCTGAATCTCTTCTCTGCCCAACCTGTAGCTGTGCCTGGGAATGCTCCGACCCAGGTGTAGGACCTTGCACTTGGCATGGTTAAACTTCATGAGGTTGGCATCACCCCACCTCACAAGTATGTCAAGGTCCCTCTGGATGGCATTCCTTCCCTCCAGCGTATCAACTGAACCACACAGCTTGGTGTCATCGGCAAACTTGCTGAGGGCACACTCAATCCCACTGTCCATGTCCTAGATGGCATTCCTGTTTCCATAGTAAAAAGGGACTCCTAAAACATGTACCTACCCTCCCCAAAAAATTCTGATCCTTTTTTTTTGGCATTGTGCTTTGTGTAAATAGTCCCTGAATGCCTCCAGGTAGTATTTCTAGGAGACTTGCAGGGAGTTGGAGAGGTTAGTGGTTTAGTCAGAGGTGATGGGGTGTTTTGTACTTTATAAACTTTGAGAATTAGGTTCTCATCCAGTTTTGCCAGGGGGAGTCTCAAAACAGGGAGGACCCAGTGCATGCCTCCTGGGAGGGTTAACTGGTTAGGTAAAGTGGCAGGAGTGTGGATGGAAGATACAGCCCAATCTTCTCCCATGCTTATCAATCACTGGAAATACTGATGCTAACAAACACAGACAAAACCCTAAACTTACAGTGGTTCACTTAAAAAATCCTATTACCTCTGAACTCCTCCTTTTCAGGTTTTTGACTCTTGTCACATTTCTGTTAACTTCTCCAGACACACGGTCTCCTAGAGAAAAGACTGAACTTTCCATGTGGAAAAGCAAACAGGTTTTTATTTATGGCACCTTCTGAATCATCATCAAATATCAACCATAGGAACAAGGTGGTTTTCTTTTTCCCTTTCCACAGAAAAACTTTCAAGGGCTAATTTATAAAGCTATTTTGGCTTAGACCACAGTTATTCTTCTGTGCTACCAACCATCTGCATTCACTGCAGTGATGGATAATGCTAGCAGAAAGCCACGGTAGCTTCTGCACTGTTTATCACGTGTGATGTTGACTTTTGTGTCACTGCCAAAGTGGGGGTGCAGCTTTAGCCCTGTCACACAGCAGCATCCATTTTCCCACAGACTGCTTGCTACACAAAACGCAAACAGTCCTCTTTTATCCAGAGAGGTAAAATAGGACAAAAGGAACAGCTCAAGGGCTTAGCTCTCACTCAGACAGAGGGAGGAAAATAAACTAGAAGCTCAAAGCAGAGTAGATAAAAGAAGAGCAAACTGACATTGTTAAGAGCTAAGTCAATGAATGCTCAGAGCATTCACTTCCTTGTAAGACATGGTTGAGCTCTGCAGAAATGATCCTGACTGGTAAAATTCAGCCTTGGGCAGAAGATACGGCGGGGTCTATGCATCACTTACATCCCCACTTGACCTGTGCAATTTCAGCCGTGTGTAAGATACATCTCCAGAAGACTGGATTTTCACTGTGTAATGGATGTTTTATTGTGGTTTTTTTTTTGCTTTGTTTTAAAGATGCTGGTCTGGTCAATAGTCTCTTGGTCTTTCTCCTAAGAAAGTCATCCAAAAGGGATGTTGGTAGATAACTTTGCACTTGCAGTTTTCTGGGAGCCACAAGCAGTCTCATTTTTCTACCTGAATCAAGGGATTTAGTTCAGTTTTTTAGTTCAGTAAAATTTGCAAATTGAACCATCTTCTTCAACCATTTTTTTTAAGTACAGCTGCCATAAAGATACCACATCCGAGGTGGTTTTGATTGAAAACTGGGTGAGTGGTGTTAAATTAGATTTAAAACAAACAAACAAACAAACAAAACCAAACCCTATTGTGAAGAACTGTTTTCCTGCTGTCAGTGGAATTCAGGCTCTATCTTGCCACTGTGCTTGGAGGTTGGTTTATAACCCTATTTTTCATTAATGAGCTGGGCTTCCTGGCAGCGCTGCACCCCCCATGCTGCTCCATGGCCCAAGGCAACACCTGCCACCATTGCTCCCTCTTTCCTTTGGGGGACAGCAGAAGCAAAGTGCTCTAGGGTGAGAGAAAGCTTTTCCAGCCAGTGACCCCTGGGAGGGGAACCAGACAGGAGATCCCCAGACTATAGTTCTTATGAGGCACCAAAAGCATGTCCAGATATGTTTCTGTTTACATGTTTCAGCCAAATGATTTGTCTAACCAAGTAATGATGTTTTGTTGTATCATTTATACTGCCTTTTGTTTCAAGGAGGAGAACAGACCCTTTTCCTAATGAATATTGACTCCCCTGCAAGGAGAGGGAGGTGAGCTGTTGCCACACTGCTCAAGGCACAGACTGATGGGGAAGGGCAGAGTTACACTAATCTGTACCCAGTTCCTGTTACAGTGCCACCCGTCCCATTACTGCAGCTGGAGAAGTGTTGCACCAGAAACAACAGTGTGACATTGGCCTGGAGGATGCCACCCTTGACCCACAACCCGGTGGAGGGTTATATCTTGGAACTTGATGATGGAGATGGAGGCCAATTCCGAGTGAGGATTTCTTTCAGCATTTGTGTTTCTTTCTATCTGAGTTTCCCCAGGATATGGATTTGTGTCTGTCTGAGGGTTGGGAGATGGGGTAGGGAAATATGGGTTGTCAAAACATCCCCACTTCCATCACGTGGATGTAGAAAGCAGTGCAGATGCTGCTTATTAGAAGGACACCAAACTTGGGTGGGAAGTTTGGCTGAGGTTATTATCAGGGCTCTGGCAAAGACAGCCTTGAGGTCCCCCTGGGGTGTACCAGAACAGAAAATCCCATACTAGCCTACAAGACTTGGAAGTGGTTTCTTCCACAAAACAGAGATTTCTTTAAAACCCCTACTCTTGTCTGTCCATTTCAATGGCTGAGATTCTCGGTTCAGAAGTGCAACTCAGTTTTTCCTGATTTTATGAATAAAAATGGGATCCTGCATAAAAATACGGTATTTCTAAATCTTTTCTCTGGGAGTGGATGAGACCAGGCTCATAGAAGCTTTCCACAGGCACACCATGATGGTGTTGGTAAATATGGGATGGCATCCTGAGTGCTCTTCTTCCAGACTGCTTGCTCCTGGCTGCAGCTACAGGATACTTATAGGCTCCCATTGCTTTCTCAACATGGCCTAATAAACAAACTACAGAAATAATTCAGTCAGCTTTCTGCCAGCCATGTCCTTCTAGAAGCTGTGTCCCTTCCTTCTCAGGCAGGCTTCATGCTCCTGTTGCTCCAGGACCAGGTTGGCCCAGTGCATTCCCTAGGGGCTAGTGCTTTAAAAGCATCTGGAGATTATTGTGGAGTACAGCTGCTCTCTTCACAAATGGGAAATTGTGCCAAAAACATGTGATGGCATTTCTTTGGGAGCTTCTCACTGGAAACCTAAAGGTTTCTCAAGCTGAAAATGGCCTGGCATGGGTCCACTTAAGGAACTGCCTCCTTGTGCCAAACCACTACACCCATAGCCAGCAAAGGCACCTAATAAGAAGAGACAGCGATATTAGCAGGACATTTTGAAGAGGGCACTGTGTTTCTGGCAGGTCTCTTCAGTTCCCTGGTCCAAGTATCGTTTCACATGGGTTTTGAAGAGGCTGGTCTTCACTACTTTAGGTGGGAAAAGGTGCCTTTTTGAATCTAGGGTGACAGCTTCTTAGGGGAAGGCTTTGCTTGCTGTGGTAGATAGACCCTCAGTTTTACCCACTGAACAATAAACTGCAGGCTTCTTGGCAATGCCATTTCAATAAGAGTTTGCTGAACCTTTTCATGAAGGATTATATATCTAAAAGCAATTACACCAACTGCACTTTATCAGTATTTGATGGGTGGATTTAAAGAATGTTTTTTATCTTCCATTGTAGCAGAGAGCATCTGTCTGAATAAATGCAAGATGTGAACAGTGGTAAAAATATAAAATGGATTAGAAAACGTGAGAGTTCTACAATTTTTTTTTCACGGAGAGCATCAGTTATAACATCAAAAAATAAATTAAGCTATTCTAAATTAAGCTCTTCTTTTCTCGATGAAAGATTATCAGCTAATTCAGGACCCAAGAGTTTCTGTTCTTTGTAGCAGCCGTCATGATAGCAAAGTGGACAAATACATGACCCACTGTAAACTAAGCAATCCCTTTCTTATTCATCACATATTTAATTCACTTCAGGTTCATATCAAAGAGCCTCAGTCAAAAGATCTACTCATAGGCATATACTTTAGAGTCTTAACTGAACTGCAGCCTGTGCAGTCTGCATAGTCACAGCCATAAGCTCTTTAGGGCCTTTGCTACCATAAATCTATGGATTTCACAGAAACAGAGAAATAGGAGTTGGAAAGGAATTGTGGCTTTCAACCTGCTGCCAAGACAGGATTTTTTTCCTTTTCTCTTATTTTCTGTTCAGTCTTCCAACAAACTTTATGTTACTGGGCTCTTTCCCTTCCTTATAGACTGAATAATCTGACTGGTCCTCTTCAGTCATTTGCTTAGATGTTCCTCCTCCTGAAATATTTCATATTAGGCAAGTGCTTGCTGTTTAATAAATCTTTGCAGACCTTGATGATGTCTCTGTTGCCTGGTTGCTGTTTCATCATGTCATGCGTGTGATCCTAATCTTTAGGAGATCAGTTTCTTCTTGGTCTATGTCTGCAGGTTTCGAATTTGTATTTTAACACAGGCATGAGACAACCTTTCCAACAGAATAAAACTGTGCTTACTTATTCTTCCATGCCCCCCTTTTTGGGTGCTACATAAATATAAGAATGGCCACAGTAAGTCAGATGGTGGACAACTATCCAAACCAGTGTTCTGGACTAGATATTCAGGAAAGCAAGATAAAAATTAAGATATTTTCGTGTTTCATAGAATCATAGTGGTTTGGGTTGGAACGGACTTTAAAGCTCATTCAGTTCCACCCCTCCTGCCATGAGCAGGAACACATTCCGCTAAAACAAGTTGCACAAAGCCATGTCCAACCTGGCCTTAAACACTTCTAGCTTCTCTGGGCAACCTCTGTCAGTGTCTCACCACCTTCACAGTAAAGAAATTCTTCCTAATGTCTAATCTAAATCTTCCCTCTTCCAGTTTAAAGCCATTCCCCCTTCCCTATCACTACATGTCCTTGTAAAAAGTCCCTCTCCAGCTTTCTTGTAGGTCCCCTTTTAGGTACTGGAAGGCTGCTATCAGGTCTCTGCTGAGTCTTCTTTCCTCCAGGCTGAACAAGCCCAACTCTCTCAGCCTGTCCTCATAGGAGAGGTGCTTCAGCCCTCTGATCATCTTCATGGCCCTCCTCATTTCTTTTTATTGCTGTACCCTTCCAGCTTCATCTTCACCTTAGTGTCTCCACTGCTAACTATCCTTGACATCTCCGCTGCTGTGGCTGTATTATAACAGCATAACTTCTACATCCTGGGAAGCAATGAGAAGCTGTCCACTTGTGGCTTATATTTAGGAGTCTTAACATATGTTCACAAGGCACAGAGAAACAGTTAAACTATGCCCCTCTTTCTCTCTGTCCCTTTCTTCTTTTCTTTTTTTATTTTTTTTTTTGAATGTTTAGGAAGTATATGTTGGCAAGGAGACTCTCTGCACCATCGATGGCCTTCATTTCAACAGTACCTATAATGCAAGAGTCAAAGCTTTCAACTCATCGGGAGTTGGTCCTTACAGCAAGATGGTTATTTTACAGACGTCAGATGGTGAGTTGGGTTTTGCCAGTTTCTAAGTGAAAAGCTGCAGGTGTCAGTGACAGGACACTTGCATCCCTTTATACCCACTAGTATCTTTGGCACTTACTGGCATGGAGATTTTGGATCATCTGAGCAGAGAGGCCACGACCTGAGGGTGCAAAGAGACTGAGCTCTCTTCCTAGCAATTTGTTATTTTCCATCATCAGTAACACTTTACTTTTCAAATCATGCAATATTATTTGGCTGTAGGAGTCTGGGGTTTAACTAAGATTCCTATTTGTTTTAGCATGCAGAAACAGTTATGGAAGACACGGAATATTTTTATGCCACTCCATCTCCTCTTCTCTATGCATCTTTGGAATTCACCTTTTTCTTCAGTACTCCTTCAATTTCACAGCAGGGTTTGATAATACAGAGATGGGAATTCATGCTTGTTCCTCTGTAATTATACTTGACATCCATGTGGGCATTACAAGAAGTTCATCTTTATTAATGATATCGTAATGAATCGAGAAGTGCATGCTATTATCACTTCCACTTTCATGCTATGTTGCCAAAATAGGCCAGTATAAAATATTTATACTTTAAAAGCATTTTCTGTGGGTTTTTTTTGTTTGGTTTTTGTTTTCTTTTTCTCCCATTGCTAAAGTGAGTCCTAACCAGCATGGACACAGTGGAATTCCATTTCCATTAAAGGCAAGCCTGAACCAATTCATCTATGTGAGCAGTTTCCATACCATAAAGAAGCTTTTGTCTCCTCAACGACTTTCTTGTTACTGTGTCAGAACAGAAAGTCACTGCCCTTGTTCAGAGGAACAAGCACAGATAACATAAAGCAATTCTGAGCTAAAAACCAGCAGGGTAATGGCTCAAAGCAATCTTATGTAGCTGTCTACAGTAACAAGGAAAGATTGTCTTTATTACCTGAAAGTGCAGCAGGGCCTTTAGGAAGGCAGAATCTCATCCTCCTCATTGAAGTGAAGCAGACAACCCTTGAACACAGCCTGTTCTGCTATAATCCTGCCTTTTGTTTTCCCATTTCATAGTGGCATGGTTCACCTTCGACCCCTCCTCAGCTCACAGAGACATAGTGCTGTCGAACGACAACCAGACTGCCACCTGCAACAGCTATGATGACCGGGTTGTTCTTGGCACAGCAGCCTTCTCCAAGGGTGTGCATTACTGGGAACTGCATGTGGATAGGTATGACAACCATCCAGATCCAGCCTTTGGCATTGCCAGGATTAACGTTGTCAAGGACATGATGCTAGGCAAGGACGACAAGGCATGGGCTATGTATGTTGACAACAACCGCAGCTGGTTCATGCATTGCAATTCTCACACCAATAGGTAAGTGCCACTTGCATTCTTTTCTCATTCCTGATCATTTTTTTCTTCTTTGCATCAGAGGAAGGGGTCTTAGCAAGCCACGTGGTCCATCTCCATGCAAAATGTAGTCATTTTATTCCTTCTCTAAAATCACTAGTGACAGCAATTGCACTTCAGCAATCTGTGCTGGTGTTTGTTATCCTCACTGTTAGCAGTTCTTTTCCTGAGATCTAGCTTAAATCCCCCCTGCTGTGATTTAAACTCATTATTGCACATCCCACCCACGGCATCAGCAGACAGGAGTGCAGCACTCTGGGATATGGGATTTCTCTCTCATTGCTGGAGGAGTGCAGGGAGAAAGGTGTTGGATTCCAGGAAAGATGTTGGAGCAACCTAGTCCAGTGGGAGGTGTCCATGCCCATGGCAGAGGGGTTTGAACTAGATGATCTTTAAGGCCCTTTCTAACCCAAACCATCCTATGATTCAATGATTCTGTGATTCTGTTCCTTAGAAGAAATCTTGGCTTCAGGGTTGCAGAATAATTAGGCAAAACACTGGAGATCTCCTGTCCAAAATGCAGGTGTTTATTGCCAGTCCTGAAAGCTTATTAAGGGCAATGATGGGAGATTGATGTACAAATAAAGTGACTGACCAGGGATACGTAGCAGGTCTGTGGCAGAGAGGAAATCAATTTCGATTTAGTTTCCTATTGCCTGTCCCAGCAAATATTCCACACTCACTAGCTCAGGTGTTGTTTGTTATAGCAAATAATTAAAACAAAGGCTTGCAGTGATTTTCAAATGCTCAAATGCAGGTATCATCTCCTTAAAGAGGTAAGTAAGTTTATGCCCACGTGCACTATATCCTAAAGCTGGTTGTAATATCTCCTGTTGAATGGTCATTTATGCTGTAAAGCATTTATACTCTAAAGTATTTTAAATAACTCTACTGCAATTGCTGTGGATTTTTGTTTGAAGCATAGCTTGATTTTGTAGTTCATTACAGATAGGTGGAGGAACCTTGTAGCTGGATCAAAAGCTATCTGCAGTCAATTGGAATGTTTTCAATGACTCCAAAGACCTTAAGATAATACACAATAAAATAACATCAGTATAATAAATATATCAAAAGTTTCTCTGTCGCTTTAATATCTTGATTTGATTTAGGGCAGAAGTAGTGTTAAGCTGTATTAATTTTAATACTCTGTGCAACAGCTTATGTTTCCTGGAAAAAAACTGGCAACCATTCTGTGTACTACTGTCCCAGAAACCTATTTTATGGATTTGGTCCTCAGCATGCTCCTACCAGCAAGCAACACACGAGCTAAGCAAAAGCTGTTTTTTTTTTTCTGGGAAGCACAAATAATGGAAACAGTTTGGATTTCCAATCATCCTCCTAAAACAAGAAAACAAAGTGCTTTCTGTTGATGATAGTTTCCAAGTTAAACACACGATAAAACACAAGGGCTTCACATGCGCATTCAAGGCATGGATAGACCCATGAAATAGCTGTTCAAGTGAAGTACACTCTTACAGGATATGTAGTCTTATGAAATCACATGCGCTTCAATGAAATTAGGTCTAGGCATTATATTTTTAACCGTGACAGTCAACTAGGTCAGGTTTTTAACTCATTAGCTTTAATAGTCTTGTGGAAACTTATTTCTGCCTAGTTGTTTTTCCCCACTGGAGACAAGTGCATGAGAGCACAGTATCACGGTCCAAAGGAAATCTATTGTTAGATTTTAGCCTCTCAGATGTTATTGTGATAGAGGTTATGTCTTAGTCATCATTTCATGCTTCCTGATCTTCATAAGAATAAATTAGGGTGATAAATAAATGACTAGCTTCAAGGGTAAGATGAGGTGGAGCTTGAAAGACCTGTTCATGGGACCTGTCATGTTCAGAGTACTTTCCTTTTCCTTTCGCTCACAGCATGCAAAATTGGACCTGTCTATATTCTTAAAAACTAGCATGACTTCTGTAATACTGGAAGAATATGCAGGAACAGAAGACTCTAATGCTATTAAAAACCTTTGAGAACAGGTTGAGCAAAGTGTTTAAGAAAACAGTTTAGGTCTGTTTAGGTACCTTTCATCCTCATTGTTCCTGCAAATCTGTGCCTTGGAAGATCATGGAACAGATCCTCCTAGAAATTACGCTAAGTCACACAGAGGATAGGGACGTGATTTGAGACACCCATCATGGCTTCCAGAAAGGGCAAGTCTTGCCTCACCAATGTAGTTGCCTTCTATATTGGAGTGACTGTATTAGTGGACAAGAGAAGAGCTATGGATGTTGCCTGTCTATCTGGACTTCTGTAAGGTCTTTGACACAGTCCCTCACAACATCCTTCTCTCTCAGTTGGAGACATATGGATTTGATGGATAGACTGTTCGATAGATGAAGAATTGGCTGGATGCTCACATCCAGAGGGTAGCAGTCAACAACTCCATGTCCAGATGGAAATCAGTGATAAATGGTGTCCCTCAGAGGTCTGTACTGGGACCAGTACTGTTTAACATCTTCATCAATGATATAGACACTGGGATTGAGTACACTCTCAGCAAGTTTGCTGATGACACCAATCTGAGTGGTGTGGTTGATACGCCTGAGGGATGGGATGGGACACGCCAGAGGGACCTGGACAAGCTTGAGAAGTGGGCCTGTGTGAACCGCTTGAAGTTCAGCAAGGCCAAATGTAGGGTCCTGCTCTTGGGTCAGGGCAACCCCTGATACCAACACAGGCTGGGGGATGAAAGGATCAAGAGCAGCCCTGCCAAGAAGGATTTGGGAGTACTGGTGAATGAAGAGCTGGACATGAGCCGGCCTTCACAGAATCACAGAATCCCAAGGGGTTGGAAGGGACCTCAGAAGATCATCTAGTCCAACCCTCCTGCAAGAGCAGGGTAACCTAGAGTACATCACACAGGAACTTGTCCAGGCGGGCCTTGAATATCTCCAACGTAGGAGACTCCACAAACCCCCTGGACAACCTGTTCCAGTGCTCTGTCACTCTCACAGTAAAGAGATTTTTCCTAATGTTCACATGGAACCTCCTATGCTCCAGTTTACACCCATTGCCCCTTGTCCTATCACTGGACATCACTGAAAAAACCCTAGCTCCATCATCCTGACACTCACCCTTTACATATTTGTAAACATTGATGAGGTCACCCCTCAGTATCCTCTTCTCCAAGCTAAAGAGTCCCAGCTCCCTCAGCCTCTCCTCATAAGGGAGTTGTTCCACTCCTTTAATCATCTTAGTTGCCCTGCGCTGGACTCTTTCAAGCAATTCCCTGTTCTTCTTGAACTGTGGGGCCCAGAGCTGGACACAATATTCCAGATGCGGCCTCACCAAGGCAGAGTAGAGGGGGAGGAGAACCTCTCTTGACCTATTAACCACCCCCCTTCTAATGCACCCTAGGATGCCATTGGCCTTCTTGGCCACAAGGGCACATTGCTGGCTCATGGTCATCCTCCTATCCACCAGGTCCCTTTCCCCTTCGCTACTGTCCAGCAGGTCAACCCCCAACCTGTACTGGTACATGGGGTTGTTCTTCCCCAAATGCAAGACTCTACACTTGCCCTTGTTGAATTTCATCAAGTTCCTCTCTGCCCAACTCTCCAGCCTGTCCAGGTCTCGCTGAATGGCAACGCAGCCCTCTGGTGTGTCAGCCACTCCTCCCAGTTTAGTATCATCAGCGAACTTGCTGAGGGTGCATTCAGTTCCCTCATCCAAGTCGTTGATGAAAATATTAAACAGCACTGGTCCCAGCACCGACCCCTGAGGGACTCCACTAGTCACAGACCTCCAGCTAGATTCTGCCCCATTGACCACAACTCTCTGCCTTCTTCCTTCCAACCAGTTCTTGATCCACCTCACTGCCTGATCATCAAGCCCACATTTCCTTAGCTTATCTATGAGGATGCTGTGGGAGACAGTATCAAATGCCTTACTGAAATCAAGAAAAACCACATCTACCGCTCTACCATCATCCATCCATATAGTTACTTGTTCATAGAAGGCTATAAGTTTGGTCAAACATGACTTCCCCTTGGTAAAACCATGTTGGCTGCTCTTAATGACCCCCTCATCCTTGATATGTCTAGAGATGGTGTCAAGAATAAGTTGTTCCATCACCTTTCCAGGGATGGAGGTAAGGCTGACCGGTCTGTAATTACCCGGGTCCTCCTTCTTGCCCGTCTTATAGACCAGTGTGACATTTGCCATCCTCCAATCCTCAGGCACCTCACCTGTTTCCCACGACTTACCAAAGATGATGGAGAGTGGCTCAGCAATGACCCCCGCCAGCTCCCTCAGCACCCGTGGGTGTATTCCATCCGGACCCATCGATTTATAGATGTCCAGATTACTTAACTGATCCCTAACCCAATCCTCATCCACCAAAGCAAACTCCTCCTTTATCCTGACTCCTTCCGGGGCTATAGGAATCTGGGTCCGCCGGGGAGAGTCTGCAGGAGTAAGGACAGAGGCAAAGAAGGCATTCAGCACCTCTGCCTTCTTTATATCCTCTGTCTCCAGGGCACCCACCTCATTCAGCAGTGGGCCTATATTGCCTCTTGTGTTAGTTTTATCCGCTATGTATTTGAAGAAGCCCTTTCTATTGTCCTTTACCCGACTTGCAAGATTCTTAACCCGACTTGCAACCCGGCCTTGTGCACTTGCAGCCCAGAAGGCCAACTGTATCCTGGGCTGCATCAAAAGAAGCATGACTACGAGGTCAAGGGAGGTGATTCTGCTTCTCTACTCTGGTGAGAGCCCACATGGAGTACTACATTCAGCTCTGGGGCTCCCAGCATAAGAAGGACATGGAGCTGTTGGAGCAAATTCAGAGGAGGGGCATGAAAATGATCAAAGGGATAGAACACCTTTCCTGTGAAGAAAGGCTGAGAAATTTGGGGTTCTTCAGCCTGGAGAAGAGAAGGTTCTGGGGAGACGTTATTGCAGCCTTACAGTACTCAAAGGGGGCTTATAAGAAAGCTGGTGACAAACTTTCTATCAGGGCTTGTTGCAACAGGACAAGGGGTGATGTTTTTAAACTAAAACAGGGTATATTTTCACTAGATATAAGGAAGACATTTTTTACAATGAGGATGGGGAAACACTGGGGAAGAGATTGCCCAGAGAGGTGGTGGATGTGCCATCACTAGAAACTCATGGGCAGGCTGGATGAGGCTCTGAGCAACCCGATTTAGTTCAAGATGTCCCTGCTCATTGAAGGGGAGTTGGACTAGGTGACCATGAAAGATACCTTCAATCCAAATGATTCTATAAGTCTATGAAGTAATCAGTTCGCACCAGAGATGTTGTATGCCTGTTGCTAAGAGGCACTGGCATTCATTGCAGTAGATCCCTTCCTTGGCAAAGCTGCCAAGAGCAGGAGTACCTGATGCTGTAGGCGATACTCTAGCCACTACATAGTTATTTAAAGAAAGAGATGGAAATGAAATTTCCACTCGCACTGAAATGTTTTATACTGAAAGACAGTGCGAAGTAGAAGTCTGAAGAACTTGGAGTGTAGTCTTAAAGCACTCTGCTATCAGGAGACTCTCTTCACTGACTTCAGAGTTACCAAGGCCAGGTTTTAATCACACAAAAATGTTATAATTGACTAAAAAATACTGTCTTTGACAACAGACATGGTAAAGTTGTTAAGTTACTGTAAGGCTTATGATTAAAACACTGCTAACAAAGAGTTAAACTAATTGTTCGGTTTGTTAAAGTGTCCATAAACACTTGTTTATTTTTCAGTACTAGTGAAACTTACTACTATCCTTAACTCCTCAAGCTAATCCATGCCATCCTCTTCTGCATATTGTCCAAGATGTTGCTAGCACCTTAGAGTAACAGCCTCCACTGCCACAGGCAATGGTATTTTTCATGGTAGCCAACCTTCCAGGCATTGCACAGCACTTCCACGCTCAAGATGTATGGCTGCACACAGAAACAAGAGTGCAGGACTGTGAGAAAAGAGGCGTGGGAAACTTTGACTCTCCCACCTCTCTTCCTAAAGGAAGTGACTGTGACTGTAGTCCAAAAAGCACTGGAGTCCTCAAAGTACTGTTCCCAAGGAAACCATGGGATGCTCGGGAAGAGCAGCTGTTCAGCCTCAGAAAAAAACCCAGCCTCTTTGGCAGCAGCATGGCAAAGTGCCCCAGGTTGCCTTTGCCCCGACTTCATCCTGACAGAGCTGGTTGCTCACTGTGGGAGTTGGCAACCAAGTAACAGGCAATCTCCCTGCTGAAGGGCTGCAAGACTTGTGGCAGCAAGGAAGGGAGAGGGTCCCCATCCCTCTTCTCTGCCCCCAGTGCCCTGTGGCTCCTGCAGCTGGGTCCTGCCCTAGCCTTGCCTGGGCTCTGCAGGCAGCATCCATCTCCTGTGCAGTGGGCTGTCCCCAGGGGCTGCAGAGGAGTCATTCAATGTCACTGTGCAGCACACAGCTAATTAGCCCACAAGAAGCAAATTAGTTTATCATATAGGAAAGAGCATAATAATCTCAAAAAGGCAAAGTTGCTATTCCTGTTTCCCTAAGAGAATCAATGATGTCACTTAAAAGGATGTCGTAAAATCTATTTTAAAACACTGCAGGATATAACACATGGTGCCCTACAATCAAAGCTGTTCCTAAACAGAGAAAAATAAATCTCTGTGTAAATAGCTCTAGATCATAGTACTGTTGCTTCCCACAACCACATCATGAGTTTTATGATGGAGTGCTTTTAACAGAAACAGTCTAGATACTGAGATACTGAGAGCAAGTAAGCACCTTAACTACTGATGGAAAATAATTTACATTATGGTTTTGGAGAAGAGCTGGAAGAGGACCCTATTAATACATACAGGATCAGAAAACAAATAAAGGGAACCTGAGAACAGTAAAGCTTGACATCTAATGCATCTCAGAGACAGCTCATGATTCTCAGCTATACTATTATTGTTTGAAGCGCTTTAAACGGGGAAGTCAGAATAGTATAATGGTATGCTATACTATTATATCACAGACAAAACTGCCTTTATCTTCGGAGGAAATGCCATGTGCCACATTTGGTCCAAAGGAAACCAGTCTATGACACCTAGTGGACAAGATGAGAATTTCTTAGCCTGCACTCTTTCACTATATTCTTCCTAATCCTATTTTGATCTCCCCGCTCGTTTTTCCGTTTCGTTGGGTTGTTTTTGTTGGGATTTTTGTTTGATTTGTTTGGGGTTTGTGTTTGGTTTTGTTTGGGTTTTTTGTTGTTGTTTGGAGGTTTTTTATGTTTTGCCTACCTATTCGGATAAATGCTATGTTAAAATTGCATTACTCTTATGAATGTTTGTGCCTGATGGGAGGACAAAAGACAGCTGCTTCCTTTCCTACTGCAAATTGTTTGAGATCTGATTTACCCTGAACAAATTGTGTCAGGCTGTAAATCCATCACAGAGCCCCCATGATATTAGCAGAGCAGCAGTGCCTGTGGCCAATCTGCATATCTAGTAGATTTTTTTGCTGAGCACTCTCTAAAGTAATACTGGGTTTGACTGACCCCCAAATCAAAGTGCATTAATGTCAAGTCACTCAAGCATATAATGGCTGGCTGAGTCTGTCCTGGCAAGCCCTGATAGCACGGTATCTCTCAGCAGTTGCTCCTGACACAACCAATTATCACTGGTATTAATAACCATGCCTGCACACTTGAAGCAGTTCCCAGGCCTATAGCTGAGCAACTTCTCAGAGAGTTACATTTATCCTTAACCAGCTCCACATTCCCTGTCTCCCTAAAACCACTGTAAGTTTTGCCTGTGCTGGCTCACTGATCTCTGCAAAGCTGAGTCCTCTTGGGGAATGCCAAGGTGGGTACTTGAACTGCAGCTGTTATCAGGAATAATGATTAGAAATTAACACCTAGAAAACCAGCTTTGTGTGTTTTCATTCTCTGCTGTGCATCACTCACTATAGCAGGGATGCTCTGAGAAGCCGTGTCTCTAGGGCTCCTGTTCCACATGCCTAGAACTGACCTGCTCCTCTCCCCATCTGTTATCAGATGTGGGAACTTGTTAGCTCTAGACCCAATTTGCAGCTTATAGATTGCAGCTGGAGGAGAGGAGATTTCTCTTTAGGATCCCACCGTTAAGTTCCCATGAACGTGGCATATATTTTTCATATGAAGGTGTAGATAAGTCATTGCTAAATGCTGAGGGACAACCACTTAACCATACTGCTCCACTCTCCCTTTCCTTAGTAAGACTGCATCATCCTAGAGAGAGAGCAGCAGCAGTGTAACACTCTGCCTTCGCTAACAGTGTGGTCCCCTTTTACCTTAGGACTGAAGGAGGAGTTTCTAAAGGTGCCACTGTTGGTGTTCTCCTGGATCTGAACAAGCACAACCTGACCTTTTACATAAATGGGCAGCAGCAAGGGCCTCCAGCATTTGAAAACATTGAAGGTGTCTTCATGCCTGCGCTGAGCCTCAATCGAAACGTCCAGGTAAGTCTTCTGCAATTTAGTCCCACTTACCCTTCTCAGCTAAAGGAGAATGTATGCTACCAGCCATTGCTGCTGGGGCTGATCACCTCCTCTGTAGGTAGTCAATATGGGTGGGGGCTCTTCCCTTCTTAGACCGACACCCAGGCTACTCCTGCTTTTTGGAAAACTGCATTTGACCTTCTGCCTTGCCTGGCAGCTGTGAGGAGTAATGCTGTAAAAAAACAAGTCAAAGTGCCTGCACACATTAATCCCTACGCTTTGCTGCAGTGCTCCACTTGGAAAGCAGTAGTGCTAAGGCTTCCTCTGCCAGTTTGGATAAAAGCTATAAGTACCCTCATTCCTCTTAGATCTTATATTTGGAAGTCATTAACATTGTCAAGAGGCAGAAATGTGAGCAGCACAGCAGCGATGAAAGCAAAGACAAGACAGGTCAGAATATTAGTGCAACAGAGAGACATCATTCCTGCTCATTCTGAACTTTGGAGATTGGTCTCTGTTCATAAGATGATCTCCTCCTGGAAGAGTCCTCTTTAAATAAAATGCATTTTTACTTGAAGACCACTGCATATGGCTAGAAATAGGTGCTCTGGTATGTCTGTGTGGGAACTCTGATCTTGTAGAGACATCAGGTTATAGAAGGAGTACACAAACGTCCTGAGCTCTGTCCTACCAAGACAGCAAAGATAAAAGGATATCCTTATATTTAGTACATGGGCTCCACTGTGTGATCCCTGTCCTGAAGTGTTCAGGGGTCCCTCACGCAAAGACTCCATCCACCTTGTGGCATGCAAGCAGCACTGCTGGAGACCTACAGGTGGTGTCTGGATTTTGGAAGAGATACGGACACCTGGCTTCTAGCCCCCAAGGTGTTAAGAAGGGAAGGGGGAAGGAGACTTGTTTATTTCAGGAGCTCAGTATTATCCCCATGAATATTACTGATGACTTAAACCTGGACCTGAAATCCCACAGCCCTTCCCCTGTCATTTACTTGCTCGTAGCCTTCACAAATGCGTTCTGCCGAGGATGTCCCAGTTTTGAATGTACATGTTGTTTCTTCTTTGTCCAGGTGACCCTACACACAGGACTGGAAGTACCACAATGTGTGAAACAGCCCAAGCAGCCCAACAACTAATGAAATCCCTGCCTGACCTTGACCTGGATTCTGTAAGCTTTCTCAGTGTGATTTGGCACTTTTTAGTAAGTCAGTAAAAAAAAGCATTCTCTTCCCTGACTTAAAATACTGTACAGCATGTTGCTCACTGAATAACCCACTGGTTACAGCTAGCCCACTCCATTTTTAATTTAACAGCCATAGCAAGCATACCCACTGAACTGGCACTCGATTGCAGATGGGTACCTGAACATATCTACACTGCATTGCATACATATGTACACATATGTGCACACACACATGTGCATTACAAAGCAAAAGGTTAAATAGGTGTATTTCCTCTCTTATGGCTGTATTTGTGCTTAGAAGATATTAGAGATGCTGGAAAAAATGTGTAAGACTAACCTGAGGGTTGATGGCTGTTGGAGCAATTTGCCAGTAGGTGAACTGGATTCTCTTGCCACCTGAAGTCCTTAAATCAAGAAAGAATATGTTTTGACAGCTGAAGTGGAGGTTGTGTGCTCAAGAATTCCTGGTTGTTCATTACATTCAGGGGCTCAGATGACCATTAATTATTCCTTCTGCCTCTAGACTGCAGTTAGCCATGGGATAACATCCCCCTATGATTCAGTGGCAGAACTTATCGTCTTCAACAAGAATAAGCTTGGTTTCCAAACACTGCCATGTAATAGTAGTGCTCATTTTAGCTAACACCATGATACATGCAGAATTCAGACACAAAAAGTAGAGAGAAAAATATCCTTGATGCATTTTAGTGTTTGATATTTAGGTGTGATAGTGGAGACTATCACATACAGGCGCTCTCATCATGGTTATAAGCACAACTCTCAAAAAACATTGCAGGGTCTTTCAATTGAATTGATAAGAGATGTACTTTAATACAGCATGTGCAAGGTGTCCCATGTAGAGAAATGCTACTTTCTAGCCTTGATAAGCCCTGGGCAACTGTAGTTCTAATGTAGCTTTGAGATCACAAGCCTTAATTTTCTATTAGATTAGTGCGAGCTAATTAATATCTTGCTTAATGAAGCACTTGAGTGAGACAGATTCACAGCATTATTGTGAAATGTGTCCCTAAGAATCTTTTTGCACTGGGGCGTAAATCTTTTGCAAGACTTGCCTGTGTCTGGATCTCCCATGAAAACAAGCAGCCGTTTTAGGTGCTGCCCATGAAAACTGGAGGCTGACTGACAGGAACATTTCCCCCAGCCATGGCATTGTTACCCGCGTGCTGTTGTCAGATAACACACTGATTGTGTGTGTGCTTTTCCTCTAAACCCAGCTAACATATGTAAGCAAAGGAGGAGGGAAGCAGCCCAGAATGAAACAGTCCCAGCCTATTGCACAGGCAAAAAGCAGTCTGCCATCGTGCTGCATGTAGCTAACCAAGCATCCTGTAGCCCACCTCTCCTGCAGAAAGCAGTGTACCTTCAGTGATGTCAAGACTGAAAGAGGAAATATACCCATGATGGGAAAAAATAACATAAGCTTTTAAGTGGGAAAGAAACGGTACTTTCTTCAAAGACTGGAACAGATTGTATTGGTAAACTTGTAGACATTGGAATAACTGTGCTGTGCTCATCTTGGTTTCTTGAAGAATAGCAGAGATTGACTGTGTTGTGATGTTCAGTTTTGTTTAGTACCATATGAACTTGTGCAGGATTTTCTGATTAGTGGGTCTGTTTTAACCTACCTCAGCTAGAACGCTACCAGACCCTGAATTTCCTCAAGTGTGCTCATCTATGAACATAAGAGTTGTAATCATAGCATTGGCTTTGAGTATTGTAAGTCAGAGCGGTATATGGGAATACTGTACATAACTTGCACATAGATTTTTATATTGGGAAACATCCCATGATAATTTTAATGCAAAAGGCACTCCACTTTCACTGGTATTAAAACCAAAAAGACACTGTTAGGTTTGGGACAGAACCTGTGTCTTTACTCCCAACTTCTGTGAAGAAAACTCAAATGAATCTTTCCAATGTTCAACCATTGCCAGATGTTTAAAATTAATTCTGAATGGGTTTCAGAAATATTTGCAGTACTTGGTTTTGGTTTTCATAGTTGCTTTGGTGTCAGTTCCTGGTATGTTATACCTTGGGGAGAACACAGTGAGTCATACAGGTTACTAATTCCTAGTGGAAGTATGGACAGTAGGGAGAGACATGTTTCAGAGCTGTGGAGAAGCTCATTTGTTATCCTGTACATGTTTATAAAAGTAGGGTGCAGACTAGCTACCATGAGTCTTCTTTGAACCTAGGAGAAATGCACTTAAAATAAAAGGAGTGCATTTAGAAGTAGGTAACCTGCATTAGTAAGAATAATTTAGCCCACGTCAAAAACCAAACAAAGTGGTTGTATGTGTTAGTTGTGTGCACATTCAAGGACTTGGGTTTGACGTGGCTCATAGCAATAAGCTAATTATCCCAATAGAGTGTAGTCTCATGACTTCAGCTGGATACATTTTGACAGTTTGCTTAAAAGAAATAATGTTCAAGTAGTTAGAATTATGCTAGGAAACTAATGACTCCACACATGAATATGTATGCAGAGCATCCAGATGGTGTTGGCCATCTGAACATAAGCAGAGTAGGATTTTCTTTTTGTGGAACAGCATCTAGTGGAAGAACTGGTGCACTCCCACCTGTGCTCAGGTTGGAGGTAGTTTGCTTCTCTGCAGGTAACTTCCCAGAGGTGTCTCTCCTTATAAACCCAGCAGTTTGCATGCTCTTCATCTACAGCATCTCTTGCGCCAGTTTTTGTTTCCTCCAAGTCCCTTCTTTAGGAGGGACTCGGCCTTTCACACCATGGTCCTTGCAGGAACTGTGTTGCTGACTGTCGAGGGAGAACCCAGGGGCCTGAAGAGTGGCATAGATCCCCAGGGGGAGCACTTTGGATGTTCTTGCTTGCTTTTGATTCCTTGGAGTATTTGTGCAGCTCTTTGGGACTCCAAGATCTTCTGTCACCTTGTCCTGCACAGAGCTGCCTTTCATGGGACTTCTGCTCCTAAACGCCAGGCTGTTCCTGAGAAGCCGGAGAGCAGAGCCTTTTGCACTGCAGTGATTCCCAACAACTGTGGTACAAAGCCCACATAAGGTAGCTGTAAATTGACTTAATGTTTAAAAACAAAAAACCCAAACCACAAACAAAAAAGTCCTTTTCTAATAAACATAACATTTGACTTCTGCATACACCAATCTGGAATCCCTGCAGAGCTGCTAAATAAATACAGCAGGCAAACTTTCTGTCTGGCAAAGCAACAAGGGACTCTTAGTTTTTATCGACCCCCTGGTCCCCAATCTTAGCCTTCATGAACCTTCTTCCTGGCTCTTTCTGCTGCCAATTTCTCTGCTAATTTTAGTGGGAACAATCAGAAGATGTGTGCCACAGGAGCACTGTCAGATTTCCCAAGGTGTGCAATCCTACACTACTTCTGCTCCCTTCTTTTCCCTCGTCAACTCAGAAAGAGCTCACAAGATGATCTCTTACTACAAGACTTGATGTAAATATGAGCACAAGCCTAGCTGACAGTCCCTTACTACTGCTGTGGAAAGGTATGCGCTGTAAAACAGGTGTCAGTGAGGAGAGTACCACACTGTGATGTATCATGAATTTGGAAAGCAATTTGGCTTCTAAAAACACAGAAAAGGCAGGCAAACAGCATTGTGACCTCTTATACTTGCCTATTCAGTTAAGATACGTAAGGGAAAATATATAGGACTAAAAAAAAAAAAAACCCAAACCCCCAAACAAAAACGTAAGCTTGTGTAGATCAGTTTAAGAGGAAAAGTATTAAATGTAATTTATTATATGCATAATGTTCCATAATGTTCCATCATGTTGTAAATAATGCTATGATAGTGTATTGCCGTAGTTTGTTCTTGGCTGGTGATAGAGTTCTGTCATAGTGCTGTGTTTTATATATATATTTTCTTTCCCCCACCCGAAGTCTAGTTAGTAAGGATGCCAGAGAGCACCCGATACTCTGGTTTCTGAGTTGTTCTAGAGCAAGGAGAAATGTGAGATGCAGCTTTTTGTTTCCTTACATAATAATATTTCTTAAATGAGGTAAGAGAGAGATGAGATCAAGGCTAAGCTGCCACTACTACCGTATGAAAAACATTCTGATTGCAACTGCCAACAAGAGGTGATGCATTTCTGGACCAAAATTCCAATTACTCCTGTGAGAAGGGGTGCAAAGTACCAACAATCTGGTAGCTTTCTGGTGCCATCTAGTACATTCTTTGCTCACAAATGGAAAGATGAGGAAAGAGAGTCATTAGACCTAATTAGACCAGCTTTGCAGCATTCTGCTTTAATAGCAAAGTCAGGGATTCAACTTTGAACCAGGCAAGATAATATGAAAACCCCAAGCATCTTGGCTAGATCAGCTTTGGAAGGGAGATTACAGTTTCAAGTCCAACAGGTTATGGTAACAAGTCAACCACACTGCAGGTGTTAAAGGGCACTTGACACTGAGAATTACCAAGCAAAGATGGAGAGTCTTTCTTTTTTTTTTTTTTCTAATGAAAAACTGAGCTGCTTCTGGTTTTTACTGACAACATTTCTGGTGGTTCCCCTGCCCAGCACTATTGAACACTGCACACACACACACACAACTGGCTGGAGTAACAGCCTGAAGCACAAATCCATCATAACTAAGACACACTTGTTCTTCTTACATGCAGAAGCCCATATGCAAGCCACAGAGACTCGATGCCTGGGGCTTCCGCGTCTTTGCACAATAGAGGGGATAAGTGTGTGTTTTAGTGACAGAGGCACTCAGCAGCATTTTCCCCTTCTGTTAAAAGTGACCTTTTTGTTACATTTGTTATTGCAGACGGATCCAAGCAGAATTCATTACAGAATTATTCTTAATGCTAATTGGAGATTTCTGACATTTTCCTATGAAACAGTAGATAGAAGTATTCCTGGATCCTGATTGCGTTCCTTCATCCTTCAGCTCCCTTAAATGTTGTCAATAAAAACACTAACTTTTCTAGGTAGCATGGTGAGAAGAATTATGTGATGAATATTAAAAATAAATGCATGAGGTAAACCTGCTGTTATTTCTGATTGTTACATGAAGCATGAATAACACTAATTTAAATGTTGGCAACCAAAAATGCGCAAAGGAATAAGATAACGGTGTTTACTTCTGGTTAAACGAAAGATGAGAAGTTGTTCCTGTGTTTTAACCACAACATTTCTTTCTTTATCATCATTTCCCATTGCTTATATGAATTTGGAGCTGGTGAAATATACATCTCTGCTGTATGTGTCTGTCACCAGATCAAGAGGAAAATACAAACTTTTTATAATTTTGTACCTGCAGCAAACGTTTGTATTTTTTGAATTAGAAACAAACTGCTTTTTGTCTTTTGGTCCAACTAAAACTTTGTGTACTGTTATTATTATTATTACCCTTTTGGAAAACCTGACCTATGAGTTTATGCTGTTTTACAGTTTCTAAATAAATTCTTATAACATTGCCAACAAATTCAGCATCAATACCCTTTTTATTATTACAAAATTACTATAAAAGAATATTACGTCGTAATGTAGATGGAGCACTTCTGTGGGATTGTCCTGGGTTCAGCAGTAGCAGTCATTTTTCTCCTTCTTAGTAGCTGGTGCAGCGCTGTGTTTTGACTTTCGGCCTGGGAACAGTGCTGATAACGCCGATGTTTACTCTGACCAAGGACTTTGTGAGCCTCATGCTCTGCCAGGGAGGAGGGGAGGCCAGGAGGAAACAGGGACAGAGCACCTGACCCAAACTGACCAGAGAGCTATTCCATACCACAGCACGTCATGCCCAGGATGTAACTGGGAGTTACCCGAAAGGGCAGGCTCTGCTCGGTCAAGCTCAGTCGGTGGGTGGTATCGTATTCTCTCCCCTTGTTACTTCCCTTACCATCATTATCATTGGTGGTAGCAGAGGCAGCAGTGATCTGTGTTACACCTTACTTACTGGACTGCTCTTATGTCAGCCCGTGGGAGTTGCATTCTTTCGATTCTCCTCCCCATCCCTCCGGGAGCCTGGGGGGAGGGGGTGTGGGGTGGTTGGAGAGTGGGAAGGGAAGAAAGGGGGAGGGGAGTAGAAACTCCACGGCTGACTTGCTGACAGGGCTTAAACCACGACAAGGCTTCAAACATAACTCCTGTTGATACCTGCTTTGCTACCACAGTCAAAAATAACCCGGTACCTGGAGAAAGCCAAGAGTGCTCCCTCTGAGCAACCATCTGTGCCTCAGCTTCAGACACATGGAACACCTCTCTTCCTCAGGACCACTCCATTAAATCTGGCTCATGTCGGTTATAGCATACCTGGGGATGTTATTTAGCTCCAACCCATCTTAGGCACTTCAGGTGATTTCCCAGTCTCCAGAAGTTTCTGATGCTGGAGTAAGCAGAGACTGGAAATAACTGTGACTGATTGGAAAGGCCTTCAGATGAATGTAAAAGTCAGAGTGGACAGAAAGCTTGTCAGGGCAGGAAAGAGAAAACTTTGTGAGATAATTTAACAAGACATTCCATCTTGGAGCTGCATGCCTCTGTCAAGCAGATAGATGCCTCGTGAGGTACTGAGCAATGCTAGACGCAGCACACTCCCCTTTGCAAAAGGCACTCATCAGAGCTTTGCAACCTTCATAAATGTCTGTTAATAAAGCAGAATAAAACATGCCAACGCACTAACAGCAGCACCAGGTAAGAAACAGAAACCTGGCCGAAACCGTCACGAGTAAGTACAGACAAGAACGAGGAGACACCATCCATCATGGCCTTTTTTTTTCTGTCTTCCTACGAGAGACAGCAATTTGGTGTCAACTCCTTCATGGCAAAGGGTTTGACTGTGAGGAAAGATAATCAGAATGATTTTAGAACATGGGGAAACAGGAATAAAACTGTCACAGGAAAAGGCATGTGAAAGACACCAGATATTCTTCCTTTATCCCCCATTCCTCTATTCAGCTCAGATAGAGGGCAAAATAAGATGGTCCCTGCTCTCCCTCACCCGAAATCAGTTACTCTGTCAACACTGGCTTTAATCTATTAGTACATGCTCCAAAAGCAAGACAGCTTGCTGCCTGAACATGCATTTCATACCCTGTTAATTAATAACACACACCAGTCCAAAGAAAGAGGAGGTGCGCAACAGCTTCTCAGCAGTTTTTTGCCAAATGTCTACTGTCCTTGTTTTTGTTAATCCATCTAGTAACAAAACAGGTCTGCTGGTACCAAGTTTACCTGAGCACTCTGGGGACTTGATATAAAAACCCCCAGCCTATCACCCTGTAAGAGAAACCTTTCATATATGTTAAATGAGTGAGAAAATACAAAGTTTGAATAAGCTTTTATTTCCCCCTCTCCCCCAAGCCTCCATGTCCCACTGCCAGCTCTGCATTGCAGTTTTCAACCTTTTATTATAAGAACTGATGTTTTTTCAACTGTTCTTTAACACAGCTTAAAAGCTTGAGACTGCAAAAATGGGACACTTCCTTCTGACCAAGTTTCACACTTAAATAGCCTCTGGGAGCTGTCGAGGTGGAAAGTGAATCCTTTAAGTTACCAAAGCTGACTGAGGACATAAACTCCCACAGCATGTTATGTCCAAAGCCAGCTGAACAAAACTTTATCTAGAAGCGAGCAGTGAAAACACAAGCTCAAGGATTAACCAGGAATTAAAAAATACAGGTTATCCCACAACATCCAAAGCCCATCTGTTGCCTCAACAGGTCTTGATTGTACTCAATTCTACTTAGTGATTATACCTTCACACGCAATTATGATTTAGTGTTTCTCTAAGCTGGTAACCGGATAGGACTGTTAATTCTGGTTTGAATCTGCAACCAGTAATAAATCAAATTATGCAATTATGAAACGTGATAACAGTATTTAGCAACCAAACTCTGTACAGCCCTCTTCCCATATGGCTCCAGAAACACTCCCTTCCATTTTTTGCCCAGCTGTTATTCTCCCTGGGCTGTCTCCCTCCTCTTAATCCTCTCTGTACTGGCAAGGCACTTCTCAGGATCTGAAAGTAAGGTAGAAGGTGCGCAGGAAGGAGTGTACCAGAAAACATCCCTTTCTGTGGTGTGGCTCTCCCTACCCCAGAATACATCCCTATCCTGTGAAGGGGGCAGCCTCCAATACTGTTGTTGGGGGGAGAGGGCCATGCTGCTGTTCTTGCTGCAAGCTAGCACAGACCTTGCTGCTCACACAGGGTTAGAGTCTATCTTACTCGGGCTCCCAGGTGGCAGTCAGGAAGCATCCCTTGCTTCCCCAGACTGCAGGGTACACCAAAATTCACCAATGTACCTAGAAGATGTTTCTCCAGTAAGGGCTGTTTCCCTTCTCATATACACCTGCTTCAGAGTGCTGGAGCACCTCTCCTATGAGGACAGGCTGAAAGTTGGGTTTGTGCAGCCTGGAGAAGGCCCAGGGGAGACCTTACAGCAGCCTTACAGTACCTAGAGGAGGTCTACAAGAAACCTGGAGAGGGATGTTTTACAAGGGCATGGAGTGATAGAGCAAGGGATAATTGCTTTAAACTGGAAGAGGGTAGATTTACATTAGATACTAGAAAGAAATTCTTTACTATGAGGGTGGTTAAGAGGACATTTTGGAAGGCTACTAACCACTGCCATTTCTAATGGAAACATGACATTGAAAACAAAGAAACAAAAAATAGCTACTGAGGACAAAATAGTTCTTTCAGAAATACCACATCTGAAATCCAAACTTGAGTTTTGACAAAGATTTCATAGAAAAGCCTTACGAGGCATGGGAACACTGATCAAAACAAACATGAGCCAAGCATGAACAACCAGAAACTATCGAGTGTCTATGCCTCATTTGGTTCAGTCTTGCATGATCTCGTTTTCAAAACCAAACCAACCAAGCCACCACACCACCATTTGAAACAGTGCTTATTTAGAGATCTCTGCAGAGATGTACAAGTTGAGTCTGGAACTCTACCTGGGACAAAACTTCAGAAAAAAATATCTCATTTTCATTCTAAAGCAGAAAACTTGGAAACCGTAAGAGGTTTTGCTGGACAAGAAGAATGTTGAGCAGTTCCACTAGTCACTAACAGCCTGTAAAGATACAGACACAGATACATGCCTGATAAATGCTTGACAATACCCACTTGAGGTTCAGAGCAAGTAAGGTATTGATTTTTTCATACTTTTTCCAGAAGAAAGCAAAGAGCTATATATTTCAATCCATTAAATAATGGATGAATATTTTACTTATAGTCAATACAGCGATTCTAGAAAGTGAAATGCTTTCTTTAGCATGTATTGACTAATAAAAATAGTCTGTGTTACATTCTTAATAAAGTCTTATTTTTATTTATAAAATGGTTCATTCTCATATTCTTCCCAAGGCAGAATGGAATATAGAAAACCCTGCAACAACAAATAAGGTAAAAAATAGTGGGAAGGTGAGAGGCTTAATAAGTCTGTGATGGTAGCAACGTGAATTCTCTCTTATGCATATTGTCCATTTTACTCTGTATTGTAAGTTCATTTGATAACTTTAGATGACTTAATCTTCTTTATATCACGGCTTTGCAAAATCAAGGTCCCATCTCTGAATTTTCCGACTTGTCCTGCAGGCCAAATGCTAGGCACTGATTTCTTCCTTTTGGCCTTCCTGAAATAGGAGAACAACAACACAAAAGTAGTAAGAGAAACAACAGAAACTCATGAAAACTCTTAGTATGGTGAAAAATATTCACGCAATCAGTGTCTGGTATTATGGAATATCACATCAAAGCAAGTAATGACCCAGAACGTTTACTGCCTGCATAGACATTCAAAATTTGCAGCGCATTACCAAGTGATTTATATTTTAAAGGGTTTAGAAACACAAAGACTTTTGGAAAGAGCAAGAAAAGTGCATTTCAGTGAACCTGCTACACTACGATTAAGAATGTCACTTCACCTTTCAAGCCTCTGTATACTGTAGCTTGTGTTTTGCACAAATTAATTCTCAGAGTGAATGCTCGGTGTAAGTGGTATACCCTGGGTCTGCACTCAAGGATTTCCATCCATCTCACCTCTGACTGCAGTCTTAGACATGTTGGCACAGAAGTGATGTATTTTCAGTTAAGCTGCATAACTAAAGCCTCTGAAACTGTGAAGACACAGAGCAACATCACCATTTTGTGACTGAGTCCTTCTGCAGTTGGAGAAGTTCCTTCCACTGTGATCTGCATGACTTCTGGTATAAGACTGTGCATACTTACATTAGGAAAATACACTGGGGAGGCTATACAAAAGCAAGTTATTTTTAACCATGTTAAAAATGGCTCACCTCTCCTTCTGTTCTTTCTTCTTCTTAAGAGTATCACCTTTACGTTCCTGCTTTTAAAGATACATATTTTAATGGAAAACGAACAGAGCATATTGGCTAAATAACCACCTGCACAGACAACGTATAGTTGGTAGCCTTTGCATCATGGAGCAGCAGACATTTAAAGCAGGTTGGGAG